GAAGAGCTGAGGGACAGCGCCCAGGCCCAGAGTTCAGGCCCCACGACCGGAAAAAAAAAAAAAAAATTTTTTTATGTAGGAAAGCTATATTGCATTTATCAAAATAAGGCAATTGCTGCCTTATATTTGTCAGCCATTATCCTCCAAATAGCATAGTATTTTAAAAAATGACTACTATGACATGTTTATAATTAGAATCAGAAGAAATATTCTGGCCAGTTCTGAGAGCATTCTACTCTTGGATACAAACTATTAATATAAAACTTATATTATATGCCGGGTGCCGGTGGCTCACACCTGTAAACCTAGTATTTAGGAAGCTGACATCTAAGGATCATGGTTCAAAGCCAGCCTCGGCAGAAAAGCCCGAGAGACTCTTATCTCCAATAAACCACCAGAAAACTGGAAGTGGTACTGTGGCTCAAGTGATAGAGCACTAGCTTTGAGCTGAAGAGCTGAGGGACACAGCGCGCAGGCCCAGAGTTCAAGACCCACAACTGACAAAACAAAACTTAAATAGTGTAACAGGCCAGGTGTGATAGGACATGCCTGTAATCCCAGTGATTTCAGAAGCTGAAGCAGGAGGAAGATGAGTTTGAGGAAAGCCTGAGCTACACAGTAAGACCTTATTTTTAAAAATATAATAAAAGAGAAGAGTGCTGGTGATTCATGCCTATAATCCTAGCTAATCAAGAAATTGAAATCTGGGGCTGGGAAGGTGGCTCAGCAGTAAAGTGCTTGCCTTGAATGCACAAGGTCCTGGGTTCGATTCCTCAGCACCACATAAGCAGAAAAAGCTGGAAGTGGCACTGTGGCTCCAGTGGTAGAGAGTTAGCCTTGAGCTGAAGACCCGAGGGACAGCGCCCAGGCCCAGAGTTCAGGCCCCATGACCGGCAAAAAAAAAAAAAAAGAAAGAAACGGAAATCTGAAGATACTGGTTTAAAGCCATCCCAGGCAAGAAAATCCAGAAGATTCTTACCTCCAGTTAGCTACCAAAACCTTAAAATGGAACTGTGGCTCAAGTGGTAGAGTGCCAACCTTGAGCAAAAAAACATGAAGATAACACCCAGGCTCTGAGTGTAATCCTCAGTAATGACACCAAAAAAAGTGTTATATTTATTTAGTATTTTTATGTGCATGGCATATTGCTATGATATTTGTCTCTTAAAACAGTAATAGACTCTAGTAATATGCTTGGCCAACAGGACATATGAGATATTTATTTATGTTTATTGACTCAGCAAATATTTAAGGACTACTTTCTATTGAGTACTAGGGACAAGGGAGTAAATAAGATGTGCTCTCTTGTTGAATCCAGTGTCTCACACCTGTAGTCCTTGCTCAAGAGACTGAGATCTTGAGGATCACAGTTCAAAGCCAGCCTGGGCAGGAAAGTATGTGAAACTTTAATCTCCATTCAACCACCAAAAGTGGCTCTTGGGGCTGGATATGGTAGAGTGCTAACCTTGAGTGAAAAAGCTCAAGGAACAGCGCCCATGCCCTGAGTTCAAGACCTGTGACCACCACCAACAAAAAAAAAAGATGTGCCCTTTTAAGTGCAATTACAAAAACTAAAGGGATAAATGACAGATTATGGCATATCTTATCAAGGGACAAATAGACCATTATCAAAATAGACTCATTTAAATTATAAAATGTAATTGAGCAGCTGAATTAGGATCCCCACCATTTTCATGCCTTTGCATTTCAAAATGATGTCATGTTCCATCAGACCTTGAAAACTTTGGAAAAGAAGATGAAGCCCGGCAATTGGGAGATTGAGACAGGGGGTTGGTGAGTTCAAGGCCAGGCTGAGCTACATAGTGAAACACTGTTTCAGAAAAAAAAAAAAAAGCTGATAGATTAACTGCAGCATGTGTATACATTCATACAACAACCAAAAGACAATGCTTATATGTCCAGCAGTGTTCCACGCCCAAGAGAACAAAAGAAAGTCACTGTCCACATGGTGACTTTACCCTAGTAAAGTCAGTAAATAGATATATGTCAGAAAGTTATCAGTGAGAAGAAGAAAAAGAGACAAGAAAAGAATAGATAATAACTATCGAATTACTTTATTTGGGTTCGATGGGCTCTGAGTTTTTCTACTGCTTTCCTCTTTTATTCCTTGGGTCAGTTCAGCTGGTGAATTCAAATACAAGAGACCTTATATCTTCTGGTATCATTTACACATTCATTAAGGGAACTATGGTAAGGTCCTGCTGCTTCCTTATCCTTTATAAAGAGAGATGGGTACCCCAGCTCCGCTCTTCAGTCCTGTATCATATGTCCGTATACTTAAGTATCTAAGTACCTCATCCCTCCATTCCTGTGTCCTTCCCTCCTTCCTTCTTTCCGCTCATCTTTCCTTCCTCCTTCCCTCGTTCCCTCCCTCCTTCCTTCCCTCCTTCCATCCATTTCTTTCTTCTTTCTTTCCTTTTTTTGTTCATAAAGCATGATTTGGTGTATATTCTTGAGCTTGGACTTGAGATTGGACTCATTTTAATTACAAAGTGTCTTCTGGATGTTTGATTATCAAGTGAACTGGCTTCTGGAGAGAGCTTTTTAGTCCCAGTGTTTCTTCTGGTAAACTCATAGCCATTGAATCTGATGTCTCATATGATCTTCCAGTGATCCCAGCCCTAAAGCCTAAAAGCTCTAAATAAAATTGGACACTGTTCAAGTGTTCTATAGTATCACACAAGTCTAAAAGAGGTAACTGGCACTCATACCATACCTCATTGTTGGCTAACTGACTGCTCCCATAAATAGCTCAGTGTTACATGATCTGATGGCTTCAACTGAGCAGAAGAGGGATTTTTATTTCCTCATTCACATGCATATGCGGTCTCCAGTCAACAAAATCCAGGTCCAATTCACTGGACTGTAACCATAACGTCATTCTTAGGAGAATGGTGCGGATCAGTAACCATGTCATTGTGGATGGGATTCAGGATAGTCCTATCTTATCCGAAACCCCACTTCTATGGAAAACAGAGCAAGATTTGGGTTTAATGTCCTTCGATTTATAAAGTAATATTGCTACTACTTAACCCCAATCTGTTAATCGTAGAGGCTCTGCTGTGAATGTGTTAAAACTTCTCTGATAAGGGGCTGGGAAGGTGGCTCAGTGGTAGAGCGCTTGCCTTGCATGCATGAGGCCCTGGGTTCAATTCCTCAGCACCACATAAGCAAAAAGAAAAAAGGCCGGAAGTGGTGCTGTGGCTCAAGTGGTAGAGCGCTAGCCTTGAGCTGAAGAGCTGAGGGACAGCGCCCAGGCCCAGAGTTCAGGCCCCACGACCGGACCCAAAAAAAAAAAAAAAAAAAAACTTCTCTGATAAGTCTGAGGAAGCATCTTGGTAGTTTAATAAACCATTTTTCTGAAGCGAAGATCATATTTAAATAATAATAATAAAACTGCATATTCACTATCAGAGTACAATGGTTCATTTTTTAAATTTATTTGTGATGTATTGTTTTTGTGTCTGAAAGATTGTTGCAGGCTATAATGTAACAGAATATCCCATCACAGTACCTCTGGAGGTTTAACCTTGAGTATTTTACCAGATAGGTCTGTGTTCTCTGTGAGGAAGCATTGCTACGTAGGTAACCAGTGGTAATTCACTACATAGTACACTTTTTCTTCACTGCACTCTTTTTTTTTTTTTCCAAGCTGGCATTGTATCGCTCATATTTCTTCTGACCAAAATATCAATCCAAGATTACTCTTTAAAAATTTCTCTGTGGAGCCAGGCGCCAGTGGCTCATGTCTGTAATCATAGCTACTCAGGAGGCTGAGATCTGAGGATCACAGTTCAAAGCCAGCCTGGGCAAGGAAAGTTCATGAGACTCTTACCTCCAATAAACCACTAGAAAACCGGAAGTGGCGCTGTGGCTCAAATGGTAGAGCGCTAGCCTTGAGCTGAAGTGCTGAGGGACAGCGCCCAGGCCCAGAGTTCAAGCCCCACAACCAACAAAAAAAAAATTCTCTGGGGGCTGGGAAGGTGGCTCAGTGCTAGAGTGCTTGCCTTGCATGCATGAGGCCCTAGGTTTGATTCCTTAGCACCACATAAGCAGAAAAAGCCAGAAGTGGTGCTGTGGCTCAAGTGCTTGAGTGCTAGCCTTAAGCTGGATGAACTGAGGGACAGCGCCCAGGCTCAGAGTTCAGGGCCCATGACTGGCAAAAAAAAAAAAAATCTCTGTGGATTGTTTAATGAAAGCTATTGGTGGTTCTTTCCCACACCTGGTTTTGTACTTTTGCTTATTGGACCTTCATATTAATTATAGTCACAGACCAAATTGGGTACTTTGCCATAGCCACACTGAGTTGTCTGTATTTGGAAAACATTTTAAGGCTAAAGCTCAGCTCAAGAATATTAATCTTGGCTGGGAAGGTGGCTTAGTGGTAGAGTGCTTGCCTAGCATGCATGAATAAACAGAAAAAGCTGGAAGTGGAAGTGATACTGTGGCTCAAGTGGTAGAGTACTACTAGCCTTGAGCAAAAGAAGCTTGGGGACAGCGCCTAGGCCCTGAGTTCAAGCCCCAGGACTGGCAAAAAGGAATACTAATCTTTAGTTTATCCAAAGGAATAACGTCATTTATATCTCTGTGTGTATATGTATGTGTGTGTGTGTGTGTGTGTGTGTGTGTGTGTGTGTGTGTGCCAGTACTAGGGCTTGAACTCAGGACTTCATATTCTTGCTAGGCTTTTTCACTCAAGGCTAGTGCTCTACCACTTGAGCCACAGTTCCATGTCCAGCTTTTTGGTGGTTAATTAGTGATAAGAGTCTTGTGGACTTTTCTGCTTAGGCTGGCTTTGAACCTTGATCCTTAGATCTCAGCCTCCTGCATAGCTAGGATTATAGGTGCAAGCCACCAGTGCCCAGCTTATTGTTTACTTTTAAACTGTGAACGTTTACTTTAATGGGTTGGGGGGGGGCAATAGTTTAAAAACAAAAGAGAAAAGATATTCAAAGCATGGTTGTTTGTTTACCTACCAGATTGTGAACAATGGCCATGTGGATACAAGCTCAGCAGCTGCAAGGAGATGCCCTTCATCAGATGCAAGCCTTGTATGGCCAGCACTTCCCCATCGAGGTGCGGCATTATTTATCCCAGTGGATTGAAAGCCAGGCCTGGTAGGTGAACAAAGCTTTTATATCCCATTATGTAAAGCACGAGAATAATGAACTTGATTAGAAAGATGTGATGAAGACCTGAAAAGCCATGTGTTTTATATGATCCAGGACAAGGTATTTAACTCTGTCTTACATTGAGGGGGATAAAATAACTCTTCGAGCCCTTGGGCTTTTTTTTCTTTGTATTATTATATTTAAGTAGCTGTAGAAAGGAGTTTCAGTCTAACATATCAGTTTATGAGAACAATGTATCGTGGCCAGTCCCACCCCTTCCATCATTCTGCCCCATCTCTGCCAATCTCATCCATCTCCTTAACTCTTGGGATTTTTAAAAGCAGATTTTGTTAATAGTAAATACTGGCTAAAAGTATTAAACAGGAACCAACAACTATGTTTTGAATGCCTACAGGATGCCAGGCAAGCATTGTTGTAGAGGGACAACATTTTGTTGGTGATGAAAGTTAAAGCTCTGGCCATGAGCTAATGGCTTGCGCCTATAATCCCCATTACTCAGGAGGCTGAGATCTGAGGATTGAAGTTCAAAGCCAGTCTGGGTAGAAAAGTCCATGAGACTCTTATTTCCAATTAACCACTAGAAAACTGGAAGTAGCACTATGGCTCAAAGTGATAAGAGTGCTACCGTTGAGCGAAAAAGCTCAGAGATACCACCCTGATTTCAAGCCCTATGACCAGCTCAAAAAAACAACGTGTAATAGAACAGATGAGGTATGATATTTGTCTGATTTAATTATAACCTGGGTAAAATATTTCGCATTTATTAATAAGCTTTTATCCTATAAAATAATTAAAATTAAATATTTTAGTAGCTCCATAGCCACTGAGTTACACCCCCGGCTCTTTAGTGTCTAAACTGATAACATTATTATACAGACAACGTTATTTTACATTTTTATACACAAGAAGCAGGTTGTCCTCAGCTTTGCTTGGGGCCTGGGAGCTTGCTGGGTGTTTCCAGACTGTCAATCTGATATGTTCATTAGATATGCCAGGTTTCCACTGTAGTAATTAGGGATCCTCCTTGACCATCCCAGGAGAAGCCAGCCTTGAGGCTATTGTGTGAAGAGGACTGTATCCCCATCATCAGTGAGGTTGCTTTGGAATAATTGCAATTGCTTGTTAGCAGATTTTGTTCAGAAACCAGCAAGGTGCCAAAAGAACACAATTTACTAGGCAATTAAAAAGCAATCCTGAGAGGGAAAGAGGGAACCGCTGACACTATGCAAAAGGAAAGGAATGTACATATCACCCAATGTGGAAAAAATAACTGTATAGTCAAAGCCCATAGAACCCATAAACTTTATAGACCACAGTAAACAATTTGCCCCATGATGGTTAGAATATGTTTGCGACTTTAACTAAGCATCACTACCCTACAATACTGTGAAATTTGTGAGCTTATGTAATCACCTCATCACAGTTTAAACAACTGCAAATAAAGCAGTCCTGCCAGGCACTGGTAGCTTTCACTTGTTAATCCTAGCTACTTAGGAGGTTGAGATCTAAAGATTGTGGTTGAAAGCCAGTCCTGGCAGGAAAGTCAGTGAGACTCTTATCCCCAAATAATCACAGAAAACTGGAAGTGAGGCTGTGGATCCAAGTGGTAGAGCACTAGCCTTGAGCAAAATAACTCAGGGACAGTGCCTGGGCCCTGAGTTCAAGCCCCATGACCAATCCAAAAAAAAAAAAAAAGAAAAGAAAACAGAAAAATTCCAATTTCACTTAATTAAATGAAGAAAAAAACCATTGAAAGTTGAGAATGTCAAGTATATCTTTTTTAGTGCTTTTCCGTTCCCTTTTCATTTTCTTTTTGGTTTCATGGTTTGGATGATTTAGGAAAACATTAGCAGGAAGTTTCTGTTGATTGAAAATTTCATTTAAGGACAGTAGTTGAGTATTTGTCTAGACTACACGAGGACTGAGTTTGATCCCCCAGCACCAAATAAACAAAAATCCCCCAAAAGAATAAGAACAAATACTTATTTAGTTGGGGATTATGATACATGCTTGTAGTCCCAGCTAATCAGGAGGCTGAGGCAGGAAGATCTCTTAGGCCCAGAAATTCAAGACTATCCTGGGCAAAATAGCATGATCCTGTCTCTAAAACACTTCATTTAGATATTCTTTCCCTTGTCAATTTCTTACTGAATGAGTGTTAAAAAGGACTTGTGGAGCTGGGAAGGTGTCTCAGTGGTAAAGTGCTTGCCTCCCATGTATGAGGCCCTAGGTTCAATTCCTCACCTGGAAGTGCTCTGTGGCTCAAGTGGTAGAGCACAAACCTTGAGCTGAAGAGCTGAGGGACAGCGCCCAGGCCCAGAGTTCAAGCCCCACGACCAACCAAAAAAAAAAAAAAAAGGCCTTGTATTGTTATTAATGAAAACTTACATTTTAGGGGCTGGAAGGTGGCTCAGTGGTAGAGTGCTTGCCTTGCATGCATGAGGCCCTGGGTTTGATTACTCAGCACCACATAAGCAGAAAAAGCCAGAAGTAGTGCTATGGCTCAAGTGGTAGAGTGCTAGCCTTAAGCTGAAGAACTGAGGGACAGTACCCAGGCTCAGAGTTCAAGCCGCACGTTTAACCAAAAAAAAAAAAAGAAGAAGAAGAAAAAGAAAACCTAGCTTTTAGGCAGTTTTGGTTTTTCTTTTCTTCTTCTTTTTTTTTTTTCTTTTGTCAGTCGTGGAGCTTGAACTCGGCCTGGGCGCTGTCCCTCAGTTCTTCAGCTTAAGGCTAGCACTCTACCACTTGAGCCATAGCACCACTTCCGGTTTTCTGATGGCTTATTGGAGATAAGAGTTTCACCGCTTTTCTTGCCCAGGCTGACTTTGAACCGCGATCCTCAGATCTCAGCCTCCTGAGTAGCTAGGATTACAGGCGTGAGCCACCAGCACTCGACTGAATTTTTGTTTTTCTTAATGAGAAATCAATTTTCTTGTTGAAACTCTCTATGCAATCTCTTTCTTCAACAGGAATTAAGTTTTCAAGCTAAGAACTAGACTTCAGTGAATTCTGCTCAGAGACTGGGCCATCTTAGGAATGAGTTCCCCAGACAGCAAAAAGCCCTTTTAGGCTTTTGTTTAATATGTATTTTATTTAAAACTTAAAACATGCATATTTAAATTTTAGCATTCTTCCCTGCCTTCTCCAAGCACAGATTTGCATACAACGTACAGTCTCAGTATGTTAGTGCACCTGTTTGTGCCTCTGGTTGAAATTAGTTACTAACTTCAGAGATTTGGAGATGACAGCCTTTTAGCTAGTAAATCTCTTGTTTGGCTCCAGACCCAGTCAGTAGTAATTGGATGTTATTTCAGTCTGACAGCTGTTTAGTTTCTTCAGTATGCTAAGTAATTCACTATTGCCCAGTAGTAATGTGTTGCCTAAGTTGTGGGACGAAAGAAAGGGAAAAGAAAGATAGGGAGATAGGTGATCCAATCCAGTCACCAGTTGAATGTCTTTAATAAGGTCTGTAGACTGGTTTCACTTGTTCACTAGAAAAGTTAACATTGCCTCCAGTCCCAGAGTGGCAACTAATGGCATATAAGCACCTCACCTGTGTCAATGCTCATAGGCACCTTCTGCCTTGATGTCTCATTCTCAGGGCTTAGAGAGGTCACTATTGCTTCACCTGTCTCTACTTACAAAGTACTTCTTGTGAGATTAGCAACAAAAGCATGCTTGAGACTGGGTGAGGCTGGAAAGGACATGTAGAGCAGTCTTGACCTTGTGCTCCCTTCACACCCTTGAAAAATAATCATAGATGAGAAATTATCAGAGGCCTTATTTCCTTGAGCATCTACAAAGCACATTCTCTTTCCTTCATTTCTAGGAGTGTTAGCTCAAAGCCAGCTGGAACAGGAAGGAGAAGGGAGAGTGCATGGTTTAAAACAAAACAGAAAAGAGAGATATGAAAATATACTATACAATCCAACTAGGGAATCTAAGAGATTACAGATAATGTAGATATCTTGTGAATTTGTGTTGAGCTATCTCAAAATGTTTGCAATGAGCATGAAGGAGAAATCATGTGCCTTGTTGGGCATAGCACTGAGGAGGTAGATGCAGGAGCTTTGTGAGTTTGAGACCAGCCTGGGCAACATAGGCAGACCATGTCTCAGAAAGAAAAAAAAAATCACTTTTGCTGGGCACTGGTAGCTCAGGTCTATATTACTAGCTACCCAGGAGGCTGAGATCTGAGGATTGCAGTTTGACGCAAACCATGGGAAAGAAAGCCCATGAGACTCTTATCTACAATGAACCACCAAAAAGCTGGAAGTAGTGCTTTGGCTCAAGTAGTTAAAAACACCAGCCAAGGAGGGGTTGGAGGTGCCAATGAGCAAAGTCAGCAGGTATAGATTCCCAAGTCCTGGTCTCAGATCTTAAAAAAAAAAAAAAAAAAGCCAGGTGTCAGTGGCTCACACCTAGCCACTCAGGAGGCTGAGATCTGAGGATCACAGTTCAAAGCCTGCCCAGGCAGGAACATCTGTGAGACTCCTATCTCCAATGAACCACCAGAAAATCAGAAAGGGCACTGACGCAAAGTAGTAGAGTGCTATCTTTGACAAAAAGAGCTCAGGGACAGCTCTCGGGCCTCGAGTTAACCCCCACAACCAACCCAAAAACAAGAGAACACCAGCTAAGGGACAGTGCCCAGGCTCTGAGTTCAAGCCCCAGTACTGGAACACACACACACATACACGCAAGCATTTTTGGCCTGGGGATATGGCTCAATTGTAGGGTGTTTGCCTAGCATGGGTTTGAACACCAACAACTAGAAAGAAAGAGATGCAGACTGCATTTTTGCAGGCCCATGTGCATGTATGTGTACAGATTATGTAATTTTTTTCCCCTAGGGACTCAATAGATCTTGATAATCCACAGGAGAACATTAAGGCCACCCAGCTCCTGGAGGGTCTGGTGCAGGAGCTGCAGAAGAAGGCGGAGCACCAGGTGGGGGAAGATGGGTTTTTGCTGAAGATCAAGCTGGGACACTATGCCACGCAGCTGAAGGTGGGTATGAAGGCTGGGTCATACTTAATCCTCCCTAAGGCTTTTTCCTTCATTGAGTACTTCCTGTAGAGACTTCATTCTCCCCTTTAAGCCAGCATTGTGGAGTTACATGTTATTATTGAGCTGTATGCACATCCCAGGTTCTAGTTGTTTTGGTTTTTCATTAGCAGCTTAAACAAAACTCTTGTTTGAAATAATTTCAAACTTAGAGAAAGTTGCAAGAATAATACCAAGAATATCAAGCAAGGTTTGGTGGCGCATGCCTGTGATTCCAGCATGTGGGAAGCTGAGGCAAGTAGATCCCAAATATGAGGCCAACCTGAATTACATAGCAAGACTATGAAACAGAAAGGGAAAAAGAAGATACAAATAATTCCTGCATATGCATATTGCATCTAGTTATTGAGTCTTTGTAATTTGTATTAATCAGAAACCATTTTGGGTTTTTTTGTTTGTTTGTTTGGGGTCCGGTCATGGGGCCTAAACTCTGGGCCTGGGCGCTGTCCCTCAGCTCTTCAGCTCAGGGCTAGCGCTCTACCACTTGAGCCACAGTGCCACTTCCGGCTTTTTTCTTTTTGCTTATGTGGTGCTGAGGAATGGAACCCAGGGCCTCATGCATGCAAGGCAAGCGCTCTACCACTGAGCCATCTTCCCAGCCCCAATAATAATGCATGTTTTTTATTTTTTCTTAAATGCATTTTGGGAAGGAATGGTACTAGAATTTGAACTCAGGGTTTTATTTTTATTTATTTTTATTTATGTATTCTTTTGGGTCCGGTCTTGGGGCCTGAACTCTGGGCCTGGGCGCTATCCCTCAGCTCTTCAGCTTAAGGCTAGCACTCTACCACTTGAGCCACTTCCGGCTTTTTCCTTTTTGCTTATGTGGTGCTGAGGACTCGAACCCAGGGCCTCATGCATGCAAGGCAAGTGCTCTACCACTGAGCCGCCTTCCCAGCCCTCCTTTTTATTTTTTTTAAGATGAGATGTTCTATGTTGCCCAGACTGGCTTCCACTTCTGGGTTCAAGCAATCCCCCTGCCTCAGCCTCCCAAGTAGCTGGGACTACAGGCACATATTACCATTTTCAGTCTACCCGCTACCTTTCAGTGGTATAGTGTTACTCATTTGGAGGAACATTGCACATCCCAGGCAGAATTCTAACTAAGTGACCCCTTCAGGGCGTCCTGTCCAAGTATACATGGCACCCGTCCTCCTCTCTTGGTGATAGTAATTTTTATTGTTCAGTCAAAAAGTTTTTGGTTTCCTGTTTCTCATCTGGTGCAGCCTTAAAAAAATTATTTATCTCATTTCTAAGAACATTGCTGAATACTTGAGGCACATTAAAATGCAAGAACTAATTTTACTATAATTGGATTTTTCTATATTGCACTTTTCCTGTTCCTATTGAAGTTGCATGCTACCCATGAATCTACCCTCTTTGCCCCATGGGCATTCCCTGAGCTGAGGCAAGGCAGTGCTCATGGTGTGGCATAGAAGGAAGTGAGCTCTGCTCTTACATTCTTTCAGAACACGTACGATCGCTGCCCCATGGAACTGGTCCGCTGCATCCGGCACATTCTGTACAATGAACAGAGGCTGGTCCGAGAAGCCAACAATGTGAGTGTCCCTGGGTCTGGGGAGAGGACCCTGGGAGCCTTTCCTTACTCCTCTCTCTAGATCAGCCTTTTCAAGCTAAATTGGGGTGCACCTATTGGTATCTCTTTAGAGATTTGGTTTTAACTTATGCCAGCCAGGTCACTTAAATGGCTGGATCCACGTGGGCCTGTATATGCCTGCCTCATGACTTCAGTTGGCAGCCTGTGGATGCCCATGAGAAGTCTGGTTTCTTCCATGGTAGAAGCAAGTTATTCTACTGCAAGATGGTCTTGAGTGAGGACACAGATGGTGTTTCCCCATGTGTCCCCATCATGAGCACAGTGAATGGCTCTGGGTCAGTGAACAGATATGGAATGTGGCTCATCAATATTGGAAAGAAGACTAGGTGACAGCTGGGACACGTTGAGGAAATTGGACCATGTTGGCGTACTCGGGTGGTGGCTGGTTCTGAAACAGAAGTTTCCACTCTGTAGGGGCTCTGTTCTATATGGACTCCTGCTTGTTTTCCTTTCCCATCCTGGATCTCACAAATAGTGTTTAATCACCCCAAACTTGGCTTTTAGGGTCTTAGCCCAAAGTAAGACTGGCACTGACTTTTTCTGGGCATTAAGCCCAAAGGCCACTCCCACGCTGCTGCCCTGACTCTCCCCTGGCCCCCTCCCCAGGGCAACTCTCCAGCTGGAAGTCTTGCTGATGCCATGTCTCAGAAGCACCTTCAGATCAACCAGACCTTTGAGGAGCTGCGACTGGTCACGCAGGACACAGAGAACGAGCTGAAGAAGCTGCAGCAGACCCAAGAGTATTTCATCATCCAGTACCAGGAGAGCCTGAGGATCCAAGGTGAGGCCAGGCGAGAGAGCCGTGTGTCCTGAGGGTCAGAGAGAGCACTAGGAGACTGCTCCTGTCGTTGGCATTGAAGACAGCGCTGGGACGGGCTGGCTGGGAAAGAAGATTCCTGTTTTGGGGGAAGAAGCCACAACTTAAACAGCATGAGACATAGTGTTTGTATACAGTGAGTATTTTTATAAATGCAGCCTTACTGCAGTGTTAAGTAGGAAATATAAAATCACACATTTAGTTGGTTGGCTCACACCTATAATCCTAGCTACTCAAGAAGCTGAGATTTGAGGATTGAGGTTTGCAGCCAGCCTAGGCAGACAAATCCAAAGGACTCTTTATTTCCAATTAAGCGTGATAAAGCCAGCAATAGAGGCATGGGTCAGATGGTAGAGCACCAGCGGTGAGTCTAAGGCACCGAGTTCAAGCTCTAGCTAGTAGCAGTAAAAATTAAAAAAAAAAAATCACATGTAGCCTGGTGCCAGTGGCTCATGCCTATAATATTAGCTATTCAGGAGTCTGAGATCTGAGGATCAAGGTTCAAAGCCAGTCTGGACAAGAAAGTTCATCAGACTCCAATGAACTACTATCTCCAATTAATTACTCTAAAACAGGCTAGAAGTAGAATTGTGGCTTAAGTGGTAGAGCACTAGCCTTGAGCAAAAAGCTCTGGGACAGTGCTCAGACCCTGAGTTCAAGCCCCAGGACAAACACAAAAAACAACAACAAAAAGAAATAACACTTGCTAACATGCCAAAGGCCTTGGATTTGATTCCCAGCATTGAAAAAAAATTAAGGCTTTTAAGAAGGGGTGTTACAAAGGCCAAGAGGCTATGTTTGCTGTAACTGTTGTTTAATGTTCTGTGTAGTTGTTGGAGACATCATCTGTGACTGTGTACACTCATGAAACTCAGTCAGTCATTGTAGACAAAGCTCCCAAGCCTGTTACACAACTGCTTGCTTACTGGGACACAGAACTTCAGGACCTATGGTGAGGATGTTGAGCCCTCCAGCGCCCCCTCTTGACATTGTAGAAGGCTGGCAGTTTGATTTTAAATTTCTTTTCCATGCTCACATGCCCAACTCAGAATCTCAGAGGAGCCCTGGATCACCAGCCACCCTGCAGCCTTGTATGCCCATAATGTGTGTCTACCAAGAGCCTGTGTGAGCTTGATCACAGAGCTCTATCAACAGTATTTATTGAGATCTGGTCTTCCCAGATGAGAAATCTTTGAGAAGGAGCTATGTCTTTTATCTCTATCCCCCGAGGCACAGCACAGTAACTGACACAAGGCAAATGTTGAGTCAGTGTTGACAGGATGGTTCTAGCATCTTCCATCTGAAAAGGACAGCCTTTTCCTGCACTGGGAACAGGAGATTTCAGCATTGACAGTGACAGGGTTTATGATCTTGGACATAGGTTTTTATTACCTGGGTGGGTTTGGGCTTGGATTCTGGCTGGGATTGGCATACAACACGTGTGTGCTGTCAGTCTGTCCCCTTTGTCCAGCTCACAATTACAAACATGGACCAGGGCTGGGGATGTGGCTCAGTGGCAGAGCACTTGCCTGGCATGCACAAGAATCATGGGGCCATCCCCAGCACTGCAAACAAGCCCAACAAAACACAGACTATGGATCTGTTTGTACAAGGCAGGGCATGCTCGACCGGTGGTGACTCTGGGCTGCCCTGGCCTCCTTCCCATATTGCCTGCAAATGGCCAGTTGAGACCTAAGAGAGTCATGTGCATGGGAGGCTGGGCTCAGGGGTTGGGCTGCCACTCACTCCCTGAGGAGGGGACAAGGGCAGGATCGCAGAGGGCACTGTGAGGATTGCCTGCTGTGTTCTGAGTCTGAACAAGACTCCAGCTACTCAGGGACATGGGAGCTGCATTTCTGAGCCCCAGTTCTGGGCTCTTCCTGTCTGTCTAGCATTGCTTTCCTCCATGCCTGGGGCATGAGACGGGTCAGTGTGACATGGTACCCAGAGGCCAGCCAGGCACTCCAGAGAGAAGTGTCAGGACACACATGGTCTTGATTCTCTGTGTGAGGCTGCCTGGGCTGCTTGAAGGCTGTGGGGAGGAGCAATGGCCCCAGCGCTGGAAACACTGTTGGGAAGGGGATGGGGGAGAGGTGCCAGGATTCCCCAACTTCACACATGGGGGCAGTGAGGCCCAGCAAAGAGGGGTTTCCTTGAATTCCCCCAGCTCTTAAATGGCAGGCACACTTGTACCTTGGTCATTTGGCACCAGGCTGTGCTGTGTGGGGCAGATTCCTCTCAGCCTTGTGTGTCCACTGCCCAGAGGGCAGCAGGGATGGTGGCAGGGCCCTGAGGCTGCCATCTCAGGAGCCCTTCATCTTTGGGCTCTGGTTGCTGGGAGATGGGGCTTGCCACAGATGGGTGACCCTGAGGGTCGCTTCAGAACAGATGAGTGCATCCTGGGGGCTCCCTGCCGGCACCGGGAGATGATGGTGGTGGGTGTCCTGTCTGTCCTCTAGCTCAGTTTGCCCAGCTGGCCCAGCTGAATCCCCAGGAGCGCCTGAGCCGGGAGACAGCGCTGCAGCAGAAGCAGGTGTCCCTGGAGGCCTGGCTGCAGCGCGAGGCACAGACCCTACAGCAGTACCGCGTGGTGAGTGGGGCCTGTGACCCTGGGCTCCCGGGAGGGAGCCCCTCAACCTGAGTCCTTGGGGACCAGAGAGAGGGTGGGAGCAGGAGCCAGGAGAGCAGGAGGCCTGCCTGTCTTCCTAGGGGGACTTGTGAGACAGAGTCAGGCCTGAGAGCAAACAGCCTCCTGGGCCTGGCTGCTGGGCGAGGCCTGCAGGGCTGGAGCATGGGAGGCCAACGGGGCCGCTGTCCCCTCTCCCTCTCCCCCCCTCACCAGGAGCTGGCTGAGAAGCACCAGAAGACCCTACAGCTGCTGAGGAAGCAGCAGACAGTCATCCTGGACGATGAGCTGATCCAGTGGAAGCGGCGGCAGCAGCTGGCTGGGAATGGGGGTCCCCCCGAGGGCAGCCTGGACGTGCTGCAGTCCTGGTAAGGCTGAGGGAGGTACCAGGGTGGGCTGGCAGGGATGCCGGCTGCCTCTGCTGCCTTGGAGCAGCAGGCTTCCACTGTCTGGCAGCGCAGCGCACGGGGTCCTGGTTCCTGCAAGACTTTGGTCCCTGTCCAGTGCCACCTCCTCCTCAAGGATGAGTCCTATCTTGGGGAGTGGGGAAGGGCTTGGGTGTGCAGTGACTCAGGCTGATTTTGAAAAACCAGGACGGCCCCTCCTGTGTAGTTCTTTACTTCTAGAAGGCAGACTCTGCTTCCCAGCAGCTCACAGGAGCGTGGTGAATGAACGCTCCTTGTTGGCTGGGTCTAGCTTCCAGGGTGGAGCTTTGTTGTGGGTCTCCCAGCGCCTGGTGAGACTTGCAGGAGAAGCCATTGTCGAAGCCCCGTGGGCCTTGGGTGTCTTGCAGGTGTGAGAAGTTGGCTGAGATCATCTGGCAGAACCGGCAGCAGATCCGCAGGGCAGAGCACCTCTGTCAGCAGCTGCCCATCCCCGGGCCGGTGGAGGAGATGCTGGCTGAGGTCAACGCCACCATCACAGACATCATCTCAGCCCTGGTGACCAGGTGACTGCTGCCTCACAGCCAGGTCCACCGGGGCAGGGTAGATCCATGGGTGGACAGGTGGAGGCCCAGGTGCTGTCTAGACAGGGACCTCCCTCAGTCCTGCTCTCTCCCCACACCCCACCCTGGATGGTCCTAGTTACTCTGGCTGCTTGGGGATTCCCTCATCCAGAGTCTGTTGATGGGAGCTGCCCCCAAACTCAGTCTACCCTCCCTGACCATGGGAGGGGGACAGGGGAAGGAACCCTGGAAACAGACACAGCTCCATGTGTCTCCCTCCTGCAGAGGCCAATGGGAAGCTCCTCCCCTCCCCTCCAGGAGACTTCCTGCCCTTTCCCCTGAGCCAGCCCCTGGTCATCCTGTGGCCACTTGTGTCCCCTGCAGCACGTTCATCATCGAGAAGCAACCCCCTCAGGTCCTGAAGACCCAGACCAAGTTTGCAGCCACCGTGCGCCTGCTGGTGGGTGGGAAGCTGAACGTGCACATGAACCCACCCCAGGTGAAGGCCACCATCATCAGTGAGCAGCAGGCCAAGTCCCTGCTCAAGAACGAGAACACACGCAAGTGAGTGTGCTGCAGCTAGCTCATCTCTCCTGGGGGCTGTCCTTTCCCCCAGTGATCTCATAGTCATCTTGCCTCGTCTCGCAGTTCCTGTTCTGAAATCTGGCTTCTTCTGTATGTTAGAATAAGCATAAGAGCTTCAATTTCATAGGGATATATTCAAGGAAATGTCTTGGTGCTTCATTTTGACGCCATTAACCTTACCTCAGAAAGAGCCACATGTTTAGCAGCCTTCTTTATTTCCCCTTACCCCAAATATGTTTTGTGTCCCTGTGTTCTGTGACCCGCATGGATTTGCAGCTGGTCTCTCTCTGGCTTACAGTGATTACAGTGGTGAGATCTTGAACAACTGCTGCGTTATGGAATATCACCAGGCCACAGGCACCCTCAGCGCCCACTTCAGAAACATGGTGAGCGTGGGAGAGGAGGAATGAGTTCTCCCTCCATGTTGGTGGAATTCATCTTCTCATGTTCCTCCTCCTTTGCAGTCCCTGAAACGAATTAAGAGGTCTGACCGCCGTGGGGCAGAGTCAGTGACAGAGGAAAAATTCACAATCCTGTTTGAATCACAGTTCAGTGTTGGCGGAAACGAGCTGGTTTTTCAAGTCAAGGTAAAGCCCTCCCACAGCCTGTATATGTGTGCAATTTTGTGTCTGAGTGCATGTTTGTGTTGGTGTTTGTGTGTCTCCTGTTGATGTCACAAAAGATGTATTGTGATCATATACCATCTTTTTTAAAAATCTTACTAAACCGAAAATGAGGATACCTTGTCCTGAGAGCTGTTATCCCCTCAATATATTCTCTCCCTCTCTCTTTCTCTCTCTCTCTGTCTCTCTGTCTCTGTCTCTGTCTCTGTCTCTCTCTCTCTCCCTCCCTCTTTCTCTCTCTCTCTCTGCCAGAACTGGGGCTTGAATTCAGTGCCTGGACACTGTCCCTAAGCTTCTTTTGCTCAAGGCTAGCATTCTACCACTTGAGCCACAGCGCCTCTTGTGGCTTTTTCTGTTTATGTGGTACTGAGGAATCAAACCCAGGGTTTCATGCATGCTAGGCAAGCACTCTACCACTAAACCACATTCCCAGTCCCTCCTAGATTCTCTTAATACATAAACAAACAATAGCTGGAGAGATAGGAAAAAATGATTCATGGGAAACATTACTGCCCATAAACTTAAGAAAAGGTTGTGTGCATGTTTTAAACATTTCTTCCTTGCTATTATTTCTATGTCTTTAGTTTCTCCTCTCTTTTTTTTTGTAACTTTGAGAAGGTTACTCTATCCTTGAGAAATATCTAAGCAATACTGCCCGTAAAATATCTAAGATTTCTTTAATCAGATATGGTGATGCACACCTGTAATCCCAGCATTCAGGAGACTGAGGCAGGAGGAATGAGAGTTTGAGCCTAGCCTGTAGAAGACCCTGCTTCAAAAGTAACAATATTGGGCCAGGTACTGGTGGTTCAAATAGCTGTAATCCTAGCTACTCAAGAGACTGATATCTGAGGATCCTGGTTTGAAGCCAACCCAGGCAGGAAAGTCCATGAGACTTTTATCTCCAATGAACCACCAAAAAGCCAGAAATGGAGTTGTGGCTAAAGTGGTAGAACACTAGCCTTGATTACAAAGGCTCAGGGGTAGCACCTAGCTTCTGAGTTCAAGCTTCAAGGCCAGCATAAAAATAAGAATTAGAGCCAGGTACAGGTGGCTCACACCTGTAATCCTCGCTACTCAGGAGGCTGAGATCTGAGGATCACAGTTCAAAGCCAGCGCAGGTAGGAAAGTGTGTAAGACTCTTATCTCCAATAAACCACCAGAAAACTAGAAGTGGTGCTACGGCTCAAGTGATAGAGTGCTAGCCTTGAGCTGAAGAGCTAAGGGAGAGTGCCCAGGCCCAGAGTGAAGCCTCACAGCCACCAAAAATAAAATAAAAAATTTTTAAATTAAAATTTAAAAAGTAATAATATTGGGTTAGAATTTTGGCTCAAGTGGTAGAGCACCTGCCTAGCAAGTGCAGTAGCACAATAAAATAAAACAAAGTGATAATAATGATAATAAAATACCTAACATTTCTAAGATTATGCTAGAGTGAAACATCTAGCTGTTCCTTAAGCTGTTCACATTCTATGTCTGAGGGTCCCACTTACTAACACTTGAACCAAAGTGTTACCCTTATCTGGATGAAGGAAGACGAGAAGTTGAGGCTGTGGGTTCTCAGTTCTCCTCCTGTGTCTTTTAGACCCTGTCACTCCCGGTGGTGGTGATTGTTCATGGGAGCCAGGACAACAATGCCACTGCTACCGTCCTCTGGGACAATGCTTTCGCAGAGCCCGTAAGTGGATTCCTTAAGCCTATGCGTCTCAAGATCTTGGTACTGTTGTCATAAATCTCCTCCGTGTATTACTCCCTCTTGTGGTGCCTTTGTGGTACCCTGAGTGGGACTCCTGAGTTTCCTTCTAGAGGTTTAGCTGAGAAGTCCATCCATATCATCTTCCTTCCAATATAATGAAGATGACATCCAGTGTCGTTCCCAAGTTTCAGATTCTGTGATTTTTCCCAGGTCTCTCATGAACATTAAGTTGCTTTGCCTATAGGAACGGATATAAATTTTATAGGTTTGATGCCCCAAAATACTACCTGAATACCACTATACTGCTCAGTGAGCATAGCTCAAAGGCACAGCTTGGTGGGTTACATGTTTCCAATAGAAATCAGGCCATAAAAACCTGATAATTAGGCTATAACAATAAGAGATTATCGATATTGTCCCACCGTCCTCCTTAAAGGATATATTTCATTACAAAGGCAAGATTCCTATGAGACTCTACTGTGCTTGGGCTGCAGGCCCTGAGTTTTGACCTTTAATACAGATGACTCCCTTCATCTTGTCCTGATAAGCCTTCTGGGTCAAATTGCCATGAACCATTCTGATCTCCTTCCTTGTTGCCCACAGATCCCTGTTTAACCTTGACCTGTCCTGCAATGTGTAATTACTAAAGGATTTTGTTTAAATAGTAAGCATTTTTCACATGTTCAGTGACATTAGTGGCTAGGGTATGTTATTTTCAAATAAATGCATTCCTGTGGGAAATTGCACCTGTGTATAACTGACATAAATTCCTTGCAGTATTGTTTTTTCATAGTTAAAGCTTAGAGATTGTTATATAGATACCCATTTCTAGGATTTTGGCAAAATACATTATTGTTCTTCCTTACTATAAAAGATTTGGCAGGGGCTGGGAAGGTGGCTCAGTGGTAGAGTGCTTGCTTACATGCATGAGGCCCTCGGTTCGATTCCTCAGCACCACATAAGCAAAAAAGCCAGAAGTGAGGCTGAGGCTCAAGTGGTAGAGCGCTAATCTACAGCTGGAGAGCTGAGGGACAACGCCCAAGCCCAGAGTTCAGGCCCCACGACCAAAAAAAAAAAAAAAAGATTTGGCAGCCATAAAAGAGAATTATGGATTAAAAAAAATTTTTGATTGGTTGTTGGGCTTGAACTCACGACCTTGGATGCTGTCTCTGAGCCTCCTCTGTGCTGAAGGTTAGTGCTGTACCACTTGAGCCACAGTGTCACTTCCGGTTTTTGAGTGCTTTCTCACAGGGACTTTTCTGCCGAGGCTGGCTTTGTACCATGATCCTCAGATCTCAATCTCTTAAGTAGCTAGGATTATAGTCATGAGCTACCTGTGCCCAACTTAAAAAATTTCTTTAATTGACACATAATAATTGTACCTAGTTATATGATACATGTATACATTGTGTTATGGTCAAATTGGGTTATTAGCAAACCTGTTGCCTCAAACATTTGTCATTTCTTTGTGGTGGGAGCACTGAAAAGTCCTCTCTTGTAGCTAATATACACTATAGTACTGTTAGCTAGACACCAAGCTGTGTAATAAAACCCCAGAATTTATTTCTCCGGTCTAATTGTACCTTTGTATGTATTGACTAACTGGCTAAATGGAACGAAAAGCAATTTATTGAAGGTTCTTATTGTTTCATTTTCTTTTATTCTTTCTTTGGTGCTTGAACTCAGTGTCTGGGCACTGTCCCTCAGCTTTTTTACTTAAGGCTGACACTCTTCCACTTGAGCCACAGCTCCGCTTCTGGTTTTTTGATGGTTAACTAGAGAGAAGAATCTCATGTACTTTTCTGCCTGAGCTGGCTTCAAATGGAGATCCTCAGATCTCATTCTCCTGAATAGCTAGGATTACAGGCATGAGCCATTGGTGCCTGGCCTAAAGTTCATATTCTAAACTATTTCTCAATAAAGTCGTCAATTTCTACCCTTGCATGCCAAGTTGCTTCACTTGGTGCTAGAGTTCTTGGCAGAAGGTGTCAAGGGCAGATATTTGAACACACACAGGTTCATGTGAGCATGTGGACTGATACGTGCATATTCTTTCTGTACCTAGAAAACTAGTCTTTTCAATTTCTGAAATTTCCTAAGTTTATAGCGTAAGAGCTGGACCTAGGTGAGGGAGGTTTTGTTTTGATGGCGCTAGAACCTAGAGTTGGACTGCAGGGTGGGCAGGTCATTTACCAACTGGCACACCTCCTATGAGGCCCTTTTCCTGGTGTGGGAAGAAGGCATCTCTCAGAAAGGCCTACCCCAAGAAGTCTGAATGTCCTCCGGCGTGGCACCACAAATGTTTGTAACTACCTCCAGCTACCATTGTTTTTCTTTTGCGGCTTAAGGAAATCAATCATGCAGCTGTTTTCTCATACAATTCTGGCTTCCCTTGCTCTCAGGGCAGGGTGCCATTTGCTGTGCCCGACAAAGTGCTGTGGCCACAGCTGTGCGAGGCGCTCAACATGAAATTCAAGGCCGAAGTGCAGAGCAACCGGGGCCTGACCAAGGAGAACCTTGTGTTCCTGGCACAGAAACTGTTCAACAGCAGCAGCGCCCACCTGGAGGACTACAGCAGCATGTCCGTGTCCTGGTCCCAATTCAACAGGGTGAGCAAGCAGCTGCCAGCTGCTATTAGGTCAATCATTCCCAATCATTCACCCTCTGGAGTCTCCCTGTCCTGGGCCCCTGTTCTTTATATATCTAATAAAATAAGCCAGAAGTAAGAGAAGCTTCTGAACCAGGCACAGGTAGCTCAAGGTTGTAATTGTAACTATGCAGGAAGTTGAGATCTGAGGATCGTGGCTCAAAGTCAGCCTAGGAGTGAGAATCTTCTCTCCAATTAGCCCTCAAAAAAGCTAGAAGTGGAGCTGTGGTTCTAGTGGTAGAGTGCTAGCAAAAAAGCTCAAGGACAATGCCTAGGCCCTGAGTTCAAGCCCCAGGACCAGCAGAGAGAGGGGGAGGGGGGGAGAGAAGCATCTGAATAGACAACTTTAAAAATTACCCATGTCTTGTAAAAAATGCCATTTTTTCATATTTTAAGGAAACCAGGCTTTGTGCAAAGTTTATGAACTTTCAAAGGAAAGCAAACATGAATGTAACTTATGAGAAATACAGCTTTAGGATGATGAGAATTCCAAGACATTGTCCCATTTAATGTCTAGTGTTCACTGATATGTAAACCCAGTCTGGGCTCCCATGAGACCCTATACCCCCAGAAGGGGACACTGATGAAGGAAATATTTCCTCTAGCATCTTGGAACTTCAGATAGCAGATTTTGGTTTCTTTTCTTCTACCCTTGCTCTTGGTATTTCAAGTCTTCTGTATGGTTTGTATTAACAAGTTGATTGGCAGCTTTGCTGATAGTGGAAGGGCTGTAATGGGGGAAAGCAGGAGAGCTCAGGGTTTGTTTTTGCCAATGCAGCAAATCCCTGCTGTCCAGTAGAACCAGGTAACTACATTTGGCAGACAACATGGGAACATCTGTGTGATGCCACCATCTCTGTGGCCTTACTGCGTAATTTTATCCCACTCAAATCTACCAACCCATGGAGCATCTTGCTAAGATTCAGGCTGTGATTCAGCAGGTCCGAAATGAGCCAGGAAAATGTGCATTTCTCAAAATCTCCCAGGTGGTACTAATGCTGCTGGTCTCAGGCCGCACATTGAAAACAACCAGGACTGGTCAGCCTGCTGTCCTCTAGGGGTTTGCCTTTTCTCTCACTTCCTTTTCTTCTGTGGTCTGTCTGTTACAGGACCCTTTGATAGGGTCATAGGGATACTTGTTTGCTTCTGACAGAGGAGATGTTTGTTTTCTGTTTCATTTTTCCAGTCAAAGTACATTCAAGCAGTAGTCCAACTGTCACTCTTGCTTTCTTGTGTTCATTGTTGTATATCTCCAACCAGGAGAATTTGCCAGGACGGAATTATACTTTCTGGCAGTGGTTTGACGGTGTGATGGAAGTGTTAAAAAAACATCTCAAGCCTCATTGGAATGATGGGTGAGAACCATCTTTTCCTTCCTTCTCTCCTTCCTTCCTTCCTTCCTTCCTTCCTTCCTTCTTTCCTTCCTTCCTTCCTTCCTTCCTTCCTTCCTTCCTTCCTTCCTTCCTTCCTTCCTTCCTTCCTTCCTTCCTTCCTTCCTTCCTTTCTTTTTTGAAGGGGAGGTCTCTGTTGCCCAAGCTGGTCTCAAACTTGCTAGAACCATAATTTTTTAAATCAATCATAGAGTATAAAGGTCTTACTCCTGGCATTAACCTCATCCTCTGCTTCTAGGGCCATCCTGGGTTTTGTGAACAAGCAACAGGCTCATGACCTCCTCATTAACAAGCCAGATGGGACCTTTCTGCTGAGATTCAGTGACTCAGAAATCGGTGGAATCACCATTGCCTGGAAGTTTGATTCTCGTGAGTGTCTCCTCCTTCTATAAGACACAGCTTGGTTTTTTGTCCCAAAGTAAGCTGCCTTTGTTACAAAATTATTTTAACAATTGATTGTGTACTTATTATTTGTGGAGGCCAGTACTAATTATGGGAAATACAAACCATTATCACCATGACACAGCTGCTCACAAATGACTGCCTGTGAACAGTCTTATTATGGGAAACACAATTGTACATTTTGGGAAATAGAAAAGTATAACCATGTAATACTGCAGACTGCAAAATCTCAGCCACTTCCCTTTTGAAATGTTTCCCTCATTATTGCCCAACCTGGAGCTTATTTTAGTGCGGAATCACTTGGATGATTTGGCATCCTGAGAATAATAGTACACTCTATTAATCACTCCCTTTTTCCTAGTTAACGTAAGTGTATAGCCTCTGATCATCGCCATACAAGAAAGTGGGTTCTTTGCTCCAGCCTGTATAATGAGATAGCGTAGCTTGCTTGTTGGTTTTTTGTGTCTTACTGATCTTAATAGTTTTTTTTTTGGGGGGGTCCAGTCGTGGGGCCTGAACTCTGGGCCTAGGCACTATCCCTCAGCTCTTCAGCTCAAGGCTAGTGCTCTACCACTTGAGCCACAGAACCACTTCTGGCTTTTTTTCTTTTTGCTTATGTGGTGCTGGGGAATCGAACCCAGGGCCTCAGGCATGCAAGGCAAGTGCTCTACCACTGAGCCACCTTCCCAGCCCTGATCTTAATAGTTTTTAATAGCTCTTACTGCTTTCTCTGGACATGAGCGTGTGTTCCAGCTTTCTTAAATACCATTTTACAGAGAATTGGGGATTGGGGTCAATAAGAACTGTTTCTTCTGGGAAGGACAGAATGTTGCTTGAACTTATATTGACCTGAGATTGTTGTATCTCTAGGGCTTATCTACCATGGCTTTTTAAAAGTATGTTACCTGCAGCCTATGGTTATTTTAAACTAGAGATTTGTGTTGGAACAATTTCCATGGAGAGCTTAAATTTGTAGTGTTATCTGGGTGTCAAGGTCCCCATGTTCAGAAATCATGATTAGAATGTGATTATTCTGTTTACTGATCTAGAGGAGAGGATGTTTTGGAATCTGATGCCTTTTACCACCAGAGACTTTTCCATCCGGTCACTGGCCGATCGTCTGGGGGACTTGGATTACCTTATATACGTGTTTCCTGATCGGCCAAAAGATGAAGTGTACTCCAAATATTATACACCAGTTCCATGCGAGCCTGCCACTGGTAACAATGTTCGCATTCTGATTTCATTTGGTTGTGGTGTGTGTGCGTGTGTGCGTGTGTGTGTGTGTGTGTGTGTGTGCGCGCGCGCGCACTCGTGCACATGCTGCAGGAAACACACACAATTAGCGTTCAATCACTGCTGTTTGAGAGGTATCCAGGGCAGATGTGAGTCCTGTACCATGTTCATCGCACATAGAAAACATAGAACACATAGAAAAACATAGAAAACACATCAGTCAGTAATCCCAAGTCACAAGGAACAAGTTGCTTTTAACACGAGCTTAGATTTAATAAAATTTTTCTAATTCTATTTTCAAAACAGAGATGGGGGGCTGGGAAGGTGGCTCAGTGGTAGAGCGAGCGCTTGCCTTGCATGCTCGAGGCCCTGGGTTCCATTCCTCAGCACCACATAAGCAAAAAGAAAAAAGACAGAAGTGGCACTGTGGCTCAAGTGTTAGAGCGCTATCCTTGAGCTGAAGAGCTGAGGGACAGTGCCCAGACCCAGAGTTCAGGCCCCACGACTGGACCCAAAAAATACAAAAACAAACAAACAAAAAAAACAGAGATGGGATTGAGCGGCATGGCTCAGGTAATAGAGCTATCTGCTTGGTAAGCACAAGGCCCTGAGTTCAGATCCCAGTACTTCCAACAAACAACAGCAAAAGGCAGAGATGCTTGAATTGTTTTCTGAGTCTAGAAGCTCTTTCCATACATTTTCTTTTTCTTTTTTTGGTCAGTTGTGGGGCTTGAACTCTGGGCTTGGGCGCTGTCCCTGAGTTCTTCATCTCAAGGCAAGCGATCTACTGCTTGAGCCACAGGGCCATTTCCGGTTTTCTGGGTTTATTGGAGATAAGAGTCTCACGGACTTTCCTGCCTGGGCTGGCTTTGAACCATGATCCTCAGATCTCAGCCTCCTGAGTAGCTAGGATTACAGGCGTGAGCCACCGGCGCCCGGCTATTCCATACATTTTCAGGAGACACATAAAGGCATAAGAGAGAGAGCAGCCAGGTGCCAGTGGCTCACACCTGTAGTCCTAGCTACTTAGGAACCTGAGATTTGAGGATCACAGTTTGAAGCCAGCTAGGCAGGGAAATCCACGAGAATCTTATCTCCAATTAACCAGCAAAAAGCCAGAAGTGGAGCTGTAACTCAAGTAGTAGAGTACTAGCCTTGAGCAAAAATGCTCAGAGACAGCACACTCAAGCCTCAGGACCTCTACAAGAGGGGGAGTGGGGCAGAGAGGGAGGGAAAAGGAAAGAAGGGGGGAGGTAAGGAGGAAGGGAGAGGAAGAGTATAGGCATCACGTGACTGCATGTCATCTGCAGGCAGGTTGGTGATAAACCTTCCAACAACTCTGTAGGTGGCATTCTGTAGGGATGAAGAAGTGACAGGGATAAGGGGATGGGAAGGTTGGGGGAGGAGGTCATTCTCTTAGTGGTCCAGGGAGGTTTCTGAAGAAGTGAGATTTGAATCGACGGAACAAAGTGTGGAAGCTAGAGAGAACTCATGCAAGGCTTAGCGACAAGTGCGGTCCTGAGGGGGCATGAGCTCAGTGCCTCTGGAGAGGCTCATGGGGGCCAGGAGGCTGACACCTCAGCATAGAAGCCAGGAGGCTGAAGCCAGGCACCCTGGCTGTGGAGGCCAGAAGACGGAAGCTGGGATGCCTTAGCCACAGAGGCCAGGATATAAGGTTTGGGTCAACCCGTATGTAATCTTGTATCCTAATTTTCCCCTCCACTTAAAAATAAATCCTAAGAAAAATTATAAGTCAATAACACAATCTTCTAACAACATATCAATGATTGTACAGAATGCTATTGCATAGTAATTCCACATTGTAGTCTGTGTTGGTTTAATTAAGATACTTATGATTTAATTTATTTGCTTTTTGGGGTTATGGTTAAAGGTATTCTTGTGCATGTATTTTGTCCAATTATAACTGAAGATAAATTCCTAAAGCAGAATTGATGTCAAAGGATGATATTGTTTAAGCTTCCAGAACTGCCCTTCAGTAAGCAGAGACCATTTTCACTCCCATAGATATCTGTCAGGCATCTGCTTCTCCATCCTCCTACCAGCCACAAGCTGCAAACATTATGTCATACCTGCCGGTCTGATTGCTAGAAAAATGGCTTCTTATGGGCCCTACTTACATTTCTTTGATTCTAGATAACCTCAAAGATCTTTTTGTATGATGATAATACTAAATGGAATAACAAAATAATAATAGCAGTAGCTAGGAAGGTGGCTCAGTGGTAGAGTGCTTACCTTGCATGCATGAGACCCTGGGTATGATTCTTCAGCACCACATAAACAGAAAAAGCGGAAGTGGTGCTGTGGCTCAAGTGGTAGAGCACTAACCGTGAGCTGAAGAGCTGAGGGATAGCGCCTAGGCCCAGAGGTCAGGCCCCACAACCAAGGGGGGGGAAAAAAAATATATATATATATATATAAAATAGCAGCTGATCCTGTGAAATGTTTGCTGTGTGCCAGAAACTTCTCCTATAGTATCTCATTTCATCCTCAGCACAGCTGTGTGAAATAAAAACAAGTAGTATCCTCATTTTACAGATAAGGGAACTGAGAACAGAAAGGTAAAATCTACTCAAGATGACATAGCTAGAAAAGTAGCCAAACTAGAATGTGATTTCAGTATATTCCAGACCATATTACATAATACATGTTTTTAATTATTTTTTTAATGTTTATTAATGCCAGCAGGGGGGCTTGAACTTAGGCCTAATACTCTTGCTTGGCTTTTTCATTCAAGCCTGGCACTGTGCCACACGAGCCATATCTCTGCTTCTAGCCTTTTTTCTGGAACTTGCCTGTCCAGGCTGGCTGTGAACCATGATTCTCAGATCTCAGCCTCCTGAGTAGCTAGGTACCACCAATGCCCAGCTAGAACTATATTTTTTTATATCATATCATTGGCCATTTGTATTTTTTCTCTGAAGTGCATGTTCATCTTTCTTGCTTGTTTTTCTTTTGAAGCTTCTTTTAATATAGACACTATATTAATCCTTTGTTGTATATAACAAATATTTTCTCTATGTTATTTCTGAAGTGCAAAGACAGGCAATTTCTATAGAAACCCATTCTATAAATGTTTTTCTTTTGTACTGGGGACTTAATTCAGCTTTGTACTTTCTGGGAGAGTGCTCTGCCACGTGAGCCACACCCTGTGAACCTCCTACTTCTGCCTTCTGAGTAGCTGGGATTACTAGCATGTGCCCAGCTTTGCAACTTTTTTTTGTTAATACAAATCTAGATTTTTAAGCTTTAGTTTCTTACAGCCTTTCTTTGGTTGTGTGTGTGTGTGTGTGTGTGTGTGTGTGTGTGTGTGTGTGTGCGTGTGCGCGCATGTGCTTGTGCGTGTGCGTGTGTGTGTGTGTGCGCGCGTGCGCATGCGAGTGCGTGCATGTGTGGTCCTAAGGCTTAAACTCAGAGCCTAGACACTGCCCTGAACTTTTGTGCTCAAGGCTAGTGCTCTCCACTTGAGCCACAGCTCCACTTCTGACTTTTTTGATAGTTAATTGGAGATAAAATTCTCACAGATTTTCCTGCTTGGGCTGGCTTCAAATCTTAATCCTAATATCTCAGGCTCCTGAGTAACTAGGATTATAGGTGTGAACCACAGATGCCTAGTCTTTCTTTAGTTTTGTGTTTGTGTGTGTGTGTGTGTGTGTGTGTGTGTGTGTGTTTAATCTGTTTGCCAATCTATAAAATTCTCTGTTGAGCATAAAGTACAGCTGTCATGAGCTGTTGTGAAAGATAGCTGCTGACAGAGCTGTAGGCTAGGACAAGACACTTTGGGCTGTTTAGCTAACAACTCTCCTGAGACGCTGTAGGCTAGGATAACCTTTCACTTTGCTAGGCTGTTTAGCTAACACCTCTGCTCTATTGACAGTATGAGTCCCTGTACTAATGTAGTTCAGGTTGTATTATTCCCACACTTCTGTGCTTAGGAGACAAGACTTCATTCACTCACAGCTGACTCTAAATTCTTACCACCCACCTAACTGTATCTCCATAAGAAGCCACCTTCTGGGAAGGTGGCTCAGTGGTAGAGTGCTTGCCTTGCATGAGGACCTGGGTTTGATTCCTCAGCACCACATAAGCAGAAAAGGCCGGAAGTGGTATTGTGGCTCAAGTGGTAGAGTGCTAGCCTTGAGCTGAAGAGATGAGGGACAGCACCCGGGCCCAGAGTTCAGGCCCCACAACCACCACCAACAACAACAAAAAGCCTCTAGAATGGGTGACTATAGCTGGCTAGGACACATGTAGACCACCTCTTGTCCATTCTTACCCCATGGCATTTGTACAGAGTCAGGGACAGCATCCACAGGTTTTTCATTCAACCAACATCAGCACTGACAACTGTTTCTGGTCAGCAATCAAATTGCCTTCCACGTACAGAAGTGACAGGGCAGGGAAAAGCAGGCAGGTACAGGAAAAAGAGACACACTCTCTAAGTTGAAGAAGTAGATACTCAGAAGTAGAATTACTTGATCAAGGGTCATTAAGTCACATCCATTGCTCCCTAATGCTGGGAGTTACCCTGTGGTCACGATACTGTTTCTGCTAGAACACTAGCAGTAAGGAGGGTCGTGGTTCCTTGTCTACTTCTAAAACTAGAAAATTGGCCTCTTGCAACCTCTGCCAGTCCTAATACTGCCCCAGGATCTGGAGAACAAAATCTCTATTTCATCTTTGACTGTGTACTTTTTAAGATATGAGAGGTTTTTTTTTCTCCCTGCTGGGTATGGTGATGATGACTCTTACAATGTTAGCATTTAGGAGGCTAAGGCAGGAGGAGTGCAAATTTGAGGCCAGCTTGGACTACATGTCAAGACAGAATAAAAAGATTTTTTTTCTTTTTTTGCTGGTCCTGGTGCTTGAACTCAGGGCCTGGGCACTGAGACTATTTGTGCTCAGGGCTAACACTCTACCACTTGAGCCACAGTGCCACTTCTGGCTTTTCCTGAATAGTTAATTGGAGATAAGAGTTTCATAGACTTTCCTGCCCAGCCTGGCTTCCAACTGCAATCCTCAGATTTCAGCCTCCTGAGTAGCTAGCTAGGATTATAGGTGTGAGCCACCAGCACCTGGCTTGATATTTTCTTTTTATGACTGTGTGCAGTTAACAGTTAACTTAGGTTGTTGTAGAAGAATATATTTTCTATGAGTTGAAGAATTTTTTTAAAACATCTTGGCCAGTCTGCAAGATACCTAAGTTTTCAACTTCTCTTTAAGATTGCCAAACAGATGGAAATATGAGTGTTTGTCATGTCTTAAGATAAAATTAGATGACTGTGTCTTCTCCAGAGAAAAGTTTGTGATTCTTAAGAGAGATTGCATCTTATTCCATTTGAGAATGTTGATTCTCAGCACAGTTCTTGCCTTGGCAGCTAAAGCAGTGGACGGATATGTCAAGCCACAGATCAAGCAAGTGGTTCCTGAGTAAGTGTCACCCACTCCCAGTCTCCTGTCCCTCCTCCTTCTATGTCCCCAACATCCAACATGGCCACCCTCCCCTGCTGAGCCCAGCATCCCTGAGCCCCTGCGAACCTGATCAGCCCTTCTGGATCCCTAGGCTTAGTCCTATTTCATCAGCATCCAGGGCCCCAAGACTAGAACCAGATCCCCAGGACTCAGTGGGGCACCTTGTCCTTCTACACGCTGCAAATGACGTCACCACACCCCACATCAGTGCCACTGGCCTCATTGTGTTCCCTTCTGCAGGTTTGTGAACGCGTCTGCGGATGCCGGAGCCGGCGCCACGTACATGGACCAGGCGCCCTCCCCAGCAGTGTGCCCCCAGACTCATTACAACATGTACCCACAGAAGTAGGTCGTGTTCTTGTGGGGGTCCGTGGGGAGGCACTGGGAGCCTGGCCGCAGCTGGTCCCCTGGGCGGGGGGGCGGGGGGGTGGGGGGGCTGGTAAGCAAAAGGAATGAAAGATCCTGGGGATCTGAGACCACTCAGGGAGGCCTGGGCTATGGGCTGTGGGAAGGAGAGATTCACCCAGGAAAACAGACAAATGGCATCTGCTCCCCTCTAACTGGAGATTTATTTTGCTATGTGTAAGGACTGAGGGTGGCTAGGTCTGGTCAGTTAGTGTTGGGGCAACTAGGTGGATGTTGGCATCTATGCCTCTCTGTAGAGCCAGCCAGCAAAGGCTTCTCCTTCTTTAAGGGTGTAGGGCTGAGGGGACAAGCAGCCCAGGCTGCCTTCCTGGTGACCTCCATCTCTTGTTTTTCCTCCCAAGTCCTGACTCGGTTCTTGACACCGATGGGGACTTCGACCTAGAAGACACCATGGACGTGGCCCGGCGTGTGGAGGAGCTCCTAGGCCGGCCCATGGACAGTCAGTGGATCCCTCATGCCCAGTCGTGACCCACCTGGCCTTACTACCCTCAGCTTCTTCATCCTCGCCCGAGGAATTATCTTGTGGATGTTTTAATTCCATGAATCGCTTCTCTTTGGAAACAATATTCATAATGTGAAGTGTTAATACTAGTTGTGACTTTAGTGTTTCTGTGCATGGTGGCACCAGTGAAGAGTGAGTGTGAGTGTGCGTGTGAGCTTGCACATTGTGGTGTTTCCGCTCCTGGCTGCCCAGAGTCTGGATACAGCTCCAGGGCCTCACACAGAGGTTGTGCTTGTTTGTGCCTCATGCCAAAGGCAATTAGTTCTATGAACCCTGGAATCTGGCCATGTGTCTTAAGAGTGGCTGAACTTTGACATGAGGCTACGCAAGTAAAACAAGAACAAAGGGAGGAAAAGGCACCTCTGGGAAGTCTTCGTCACTCTGCCAGGCAGTCTGTACAAACTGTCATTGTCTCTGCTTGTCTTCTAAGATGTGGATGACTGCCTTTTGACAGAGCTAGTCCTCCCGTCCTTCTCAGCCCTTGTGTGTGTGTGTGTGTGCGCACATGCATGTGCACGCGCGCGCATGTACACACACACACAAAGGGATGGCAAAAGAAACAACATTAAAGATCTTTGGGGCAAGGGAAGCCACGGGTTTTTGGATGGACAGGTGGTAGCTTTTTGTATATCACGTAACCCATCCTAACATTCTCTCCTTCCCTTCTCCTTCCCTTCCTCTTCTTCCCTTCCCCTCCCTCTCCACTCCTCCCCTTCTCCCCCCTTTCTCTTTCTCTCTCTCTTTCTCTCTCTATTTGACAATCAGTTATGTGTATACACCTGTGCAGACCCATTTGGCAAAGTAGAGGGAAGGACAGAGAATCACAAGAATGCAGTGTGATGCCGTTTTTCAGCCAGGGAAGCAGGGCACGCCAGTTCAGCTCTCAGGTGCTGAGTGTAGCCTTGTTGCCCAGGCAGCTGCCCTTCTGTGCTGCCCGTCCTTCCTCTGGGCCCCAGAGGCCCGATCCGGGGCTTTCTAAAGGCTTATTATATTGCCAATAGCTTTCTAAAAAAGTTGAGTGGTAGTTTTGTTCCTAAATTGGGTCGTCTTTGTTTTCCCCTTTGCACCTGAATTTGACATGGAATTTCTCTCTTCCTACGTTTTGGGTCCTCAGCTGTTTGTATCCAGGTCACCTCTTTTCCCTTCCTTGTCACATTCTGTGTCCCGAGGAGGGGGTGGCAGGCCTGTGGCCTGCACGTTGAGCCGCTGGTTCAGCAGGCCATGCATCACCCAGCGCTGTGTTGGGAGTATGTGAATGGAGAAATGCAGTCATCAGGTTTGCTGGGAAGTTGGGTAAGCCAGAGAAACAAAAAAAGCCTTGACATGATTTTGTTCCACCATTTCCTGTGCAGCATTTCACCAGAAGAAAGGAGGGGCTGCAGCAGGCAGGCTGGATGGGGGAGAGCAGAAAGCTTATGGTTAAGGCCCATGAGGCCCCTCTCAGCCCCTCCAGAGTTAGGGCAGGACCACACCCAGGAAAGGATGGCCCTAAAACTTATTTTTATACATGTGAGTAAATAAACATATTTTTTTTACAAAAAAAAAAAACTTCTGAATTTATCAATGCCGTTAAAAGAAAAATACTCCTCTGTAGTAAATTATTTATTGGAAGATGACTTTTTAAAAGCTGCTGTTTGCCTTGGCTTGGTTTCATATACTGATTTATTTTTCTATGCCCAGCAGTAGACTGTCTGCCTCAGGAACACAGCAACCCCCTCCATGGACACCAGTGTGGATGGAGGAGGCCTAGCTCCTCCCCTCCCCTGAAGATTTGATCCAAATTCCCACTGTGAAGGTGGAAAGTAGAAACAGAAAGCCTGACAGCTGAGGGGAGCCCAGGCTTAAAGAGCCCTTTCCCTCCTGACACTCAGAGATCCTTTGCCAGTACCTGCCTCTTTGTCCCAGGCTACCCTAGCAAAGGACACACTTTCACATTGCTGATGGACACAGATCCAGGACCCACCAGAGAGGCAGAGCAGCCTGGCAGTTGCAGGCGGCTACTTGGAGCTCACTACTTGGAGCTCGCTGTCATGAGGTTAGGAAGGAAGGGTACCAAAGAGCTTAGCTTTCCACACAGTTGCCTGAGCTGCCATCAGTTTTCTCCTGAAGCTGTGCCTAGAGATGGAGGTTTGGGACTGGAAGGCTCTCTAGCTCTCTAATCTGCTTTCTGTTTTCTCTTTTCTCTCTTGCCCTGCTCCTCCAACCACGAGAAGGAGCTAGGCCCATCTCCACCCCCACCCCCTGCCTCCCCTCCCCTCCCTTCTTGCCCACCTGCCCTCAGCTCCTAGCCACACACAGCTCCAGGTGGTATATGCAGGGCTTTTTTTAGGGGGCAGGGCGTGCAGGAGACACCAAACTGGATAGCACTTACAATGGAAGTATAGTTTTTATAATTTTCTTTTTTTCAAACTTTGTGAAATTATTTCAGATACATATTTTAGTGTCGAGGCAGATTAGTAGATAGCTACCAAAAAAATATTGTGTACAATTTGGGGCAGTCAGAATTGTGTATTTTATGTTACAATAAAGGCTTCCTCTGAAGGAACACTATTGAGTCTGGTTTTTCTTTCCGTCCGTCACGTGTCAAGGGAAGAGTGTGGCTTTACGAAGCACAAGTGTTCAGTCAAGACTGTGACCTTGAAAAAAGGAACTACTACTCAGGAGGCTGAGATCTGAGGATTGTGGTTCAAAGCCAGCCCAGGCAGGAAAGTCCCTGAGACTCCTATCTCCAGTAAACCAGAAAACTGGAAGTGGCACTGTGGCTCAGGTGGTAGAGTGCTTGCCTTGAGCTGAAGAACTGAGGGACAGCGCCCAGGCCCAAAGTTCAAGCCCCATGACCTACAAAAAAAAAAAAAGAAGAAAGAAAAGAAAAAGGGAACTAGTTGGGTGCCAGCTGCTTAAAGGGTAACCACTAGCTTTGTTGGCAAATAGCAGTGTCTCTTACCTGCCTGCTCAAGTAATCTTTGGGAAATTAGAATGATGGCCAACTCTAAATCTCCTTCCACTTCCTGTTTGTCAAATATAGTGCATCCAGATACCTCTCCTGTGAGACCCTTACTGTGTGATAATAGGAAGTTGGTTCATGCAGTGACAAAGGTCTTTACTAATACAAAAGAACATAAAGGGCCTGGGAATGTGGCTTAGTAGTAGAGGGCTTGGCTAGCATGCATGAAGCCCCAATTCCTCAGTACCACATCAACAGAAAAGGCTGGAAGTGGCACTGTGGCTCAAGTGGTAGAGTGCTAACCTTGAGCACAGAGAGGCTCAGGGACAGTGCCCAGGCTCTGAGTTCAAGCTTCAGGACCGGCAAGAAAATGGAAAAGAACATGGAGGTAGGCCCTAAGAAGCTGAGGTGACTCTTACAAGTAGAAGTTAAGAAAGGCATCCACATACCTAAAATCCTAATCTGAGAATTTCCATTCAAAGCCAGCCTAGCCAGGAAAATCTATGAGACTTAACTCCAGTTAGCCACCAAAACAGCAAGAAGTAGAGTTGTGGCTCAAGTAATAGAGTACCAGCCTTGAGCCAAAAAGCTTAGGGACTGCCTAGGCACTGAGTTCAAGCCCCAAGATAAGCACCAAAGGGGGGGCAGGGGGAAAGGTCACTCAGGCTAGGCACTGGAAGCTCACACCTGTAATCCTGGCTACTCTGGAGATTGAGATCCAAAGATAGAGCTTCAGAGATTCAAAGCCAGCTGGGGTAGAAAAGTCCATGAGACCACACACAAAAAGGCTTTATTATTATTATTAACAGAGCTGAGAGCTTGAAGCCCTGAGTTCAAGCCCCAGTACAGGCACCAAAAGCAAAAGAAAAAAAAAGTCATTCATGCAGAAGACTCGATCATGCCTACAGACTAGGAAAGCATTCCAGGACTAAATAGGCATTTTCTGAAACATTCTGAAACTTCTGGGTGCTTTGGAATCTCCTGGGAACCTTGGTATAGGTCAGGGCACTGGGCTGCCCTCACCCCTTGTTTGAGTGTCTTGAGTCACTAGAACTGCATGGAAGCTGAGAATACACTTCTGCATTCCCTGGGGTTGTCGGTCCACACTTGCAGGAGACACCCCCTCAAGGGCCTCACATGCCAAGCCTGGTTACATTGCACCTGATGAAATAGTTTCAGAAAGTTAGAGTTAGAGTTAACCACATCTTCATTTTAAGAAACTCTAGGGTGCTGCTGGCTCAAGCCTCTAATCCTAGCTACTCAGGATGCTGAGATCTGAGGATTGAGATTCAAAGCCAGCTCAGGTTGGAGAAAATCCGGGAGACATTGCCAATTAACTACCAAAAAAACTGAAAATGGATCTGAGGTTCAAGTGGTAGAGTGCTATAGCCTTGGGGAAAAAAGCTCAGGGACAATGCCTAGGCCCTTAGTTTAAGCCCTAGGAGCAGCACAAAAAGGAAGGGAGGGAGGGAGGGAAGAAGGAAGAAAGGAAGGAAACACTACTGTAGCCAGGTATGGTAATGCAAGCATGTAATCCCAGCTACCCAGTAGGCAGGTACAGGAGGATGGTGAGTATGAGGCCAGTCTAGAAAATGTTAGCACGATCCTATCTTTAAAAGTTAATAAAAATAGGGGCTGGGAAGGTGGCTCAGTGGTAGAGCACTTGCCTTGCATGCATGAAGCCCTGGATTCGATCCCTCAGCACCACAGAAGCAAAAAGAAAAAAGCCGGAAGTGGTGTTGTGGCTCAAGTGGTAGAGCACTAGCCTTGAGCTGAAGAGCTGAGGGACAGTGCCTAGGACCAGAGTTCAGGCCCCACGACTGTGCCCCCCCCCAAAAAAAAGGAAGTAAATAAAAAAGAAAAGAAAAAAAAATCAAATCATAGATTTGCCAGACCCCAGTGGCTCATGCCTATAATCCTAGCTACTAAAGCTGCTGAGATCTGAGGATTTGAGGATTATGGTTCGAAACCAGTCCAGGCAGAAAAGTTGCTGTGAGACTCTTTTTTTTTTTTTTTGGTCTGGTTGTGGGGCCTGAACTCTGAGCCTGGGCGCTGTCCCTCAGCTCTTCAGCTCAAGGCTAGCACTCTACCACTTGAGCCATAGCACCACTTCCGGCTTTTTTCTTTTTGCTTATGTGGTGCTGAGGAATCGAACCCAGGGCCTCATGCATTGCAAGGCAAGCGCTCTGCCGCTGAGCCACCTTCCCAGCCCCCTGTGAGACTCTTATCTCCAATTAACCACTCAAAAACCAGAAGTGGTTCTGTGACTCAAAGTGGTAGAGTAGGGGCTGGGAAGGTGGCTCAGTGGTAGAGTGCTTGCCTTGCATGCCTGAGGCCCTGGGTTCGATCCCTCAGCACCACAGAAGCAAAAGGAAAAAGCCGGAAGTGGTCCAGAGTTCAGGCCCCATGACTGACAAAATAAATAAATAAATTGTTTTACTTTGAGATAAGTCAACAAATTAATGCAGACACTCATGCCAATTAACCAGGTAGAGCCTGGATAAAGTATTAGTTAAAAAACAAACACAACCACCACAAAAACACAAACCAGTGCTGTCAAGTTGTCTTACTTAAGGATGGGTTATTGTTTATCTTGGAAATGTGTAATAGAGGGCATCTGCTTGTCTGTATAAAAGGATGAGGTCTCCTTCTGTCTTGGTAATTTCTTGGCAGTTTGCTTATGAGACACATCTTATTCTAGTTTAGTGCTTGCTTAGTGGTAGAAGTTGGCTACGTGCCAATGCCTCATGACTGCAATACTAGCTTTTCAGGAGGCTGAGATCTAAAGGATTGCCACTCAAGAACAGAGAAGTCTAGACTCCATCTCCAATTAGCTAGCAAATAGCCAGGCTAGGTGGAGTGCTAGGGTGTCAGCCTATCAAGCATGAAGCCCTGAGTTCAAACCCCAGTACCACCAAAAAGAAAAAACAAACAAAAACAAAACCAAGAAAGGAAAAAGTTATTAACTTTCTTGAAAAAAGATTTCTGGAGTGAAATGCTCTTTTATCTGTTTGTATGTCTGGAGCTGTCCCTGAGAGTTTTTGGTTTTTTCCCTCAAGGCTAGCACTCTACCACTTGAGCTACAACGCCACTTCTAGCTTTTTTGGTGGTTAACTGGAGATAAGAGCCCCACAGACTTTCCAGCCTCTGCTGGCTTCAAACTATAATCCTTAGATCTCAGCCTCCTGCTTTGCTAGCATTACAGGCATGAGCCACTGCTGCCTGGCAGCTTTTAGTTTTTAGCAGTTCTCTGACTTGAACCTGCTCCAGGATGAAGAGTCCTTCCCTCACGATTCAAGCTGTTTAATGGTTCTCTTTTCCACACTCAGCCTTTTCTTCCTTCACCTGCCCATGTTTGAGAATCAGCTTCTCTGGGTTGAACTCCCTCACCTACTGGCCTGAGCCAGCACGCAATTTGTTGTCCCTTAGGTCTGGTCCCTTTAAGAGCACCCCCCCAGCTCCTCCCTCTTCTTGCCGGATTTCCTCATTTATGTCCAGCCCATTAAAGCCATCGCTCCACCTTTCTCGCCGGATGTATTTTGAGACTGCAGGCACTGAGGGGCTTGGGGGTGGAGGGGGGGGGAGGGATCTGGGAGTAAGTGGAAGTGGGTGGGATAGGTGCTTGTGGACCTGGACTCCACTACCTAGGGCTTCAAAGGTCCACCAAGCTGGGACAGGGAGGATCCTGGGAGAAAACAAAGCCAAAGATGTCATTCGTTAAGTAGCTGTGGTTCAGTGTCAGGCCAGTGCCCCACACCCTCTGCCTTCTGCGGGAACTAATTATTCTTCCCTATTGTAGGATCAGGAAGTGAGCTCAGCACCAGTAACCCAGGACCACTCAGCTAACAAGCAGCAGAGGCAGGGTCTGAACTCAGGTCAGCCTCAGTATCCTCCACACTATCCCTTGCCCAGCAGGGTCCTGTCTTCTTTGTAACTTCCCTTCCCTTGGTTTTTCGGTGGTAGTGGGGGCGGGGGCATCTCCGCAGGGCCCCACGGGTTCCTTTCTCCTCCCAGGACTGTGTGGAGATGTTGCTGTGGTTGCTGCTGCTGCTGCTTCTCATGCTGCTGCTGCCCACATTCACCTTGCTTGGGCAGCAGATATCCCTGGAGGCCAGGCTGCCCTGGCTTGCCAACCTTCAGCACCGTGTGGCATGGAGGGTCCTGTGCTGGGCAGCTACGTGGCAGCAGCGGAGACTAGAACAGACCACACTGTGTGTGGAGGAGAGTCAGCAGCAAGCCCTGACCTGGTGTCTACAGAGAGCCTGGGGACCCCGCTGTTCCTCCAAGGGGAGCACAGGTGTGTTTCCCAGGGGCTGGGGAGGTTTGAAAGCAAGTCCACAGTATAGTCAGATTCTAGAATCTGAACACTGTCCCAATCCCCATTACCAACTCAGTGTGTCCTGGCCCAGAGACCCACCAGGGCCCAGGATTGGTTGTCCATTTCACATAAGATGAATTTTCTTACCGTGTGTGTGTGTGTGTGTGTGTGTGCGCGCGCATGCTGCTACTCTGACTTGAATTCAGGACCTCCTGGTACTTGGGCCTAAACTCAGAACCTGGTTACTGTCCCTTAGCTGTTTTCTTTTCTTCTTTTGATGCCTGTCCTAGGGCTTGAACTCTGGACTTAGGTGCTGTCCCTGAGCTTTTTCACTCAAAGTCCGGTTCTTCACCACTTGAACCATAGCTCCACTTCTGGCTTCTGGCTGGTTAATTGGAGATAAGAGTGTTATGGACTTGAAAATCTCAATCCTCAGATCTCAGACTCTTCAGTAGCTAGGATAACCGGTGTGAGCCACTGGCTCCCTGTAACCCTGGTCCCTTTTATAACCCCTTGTCCTTCCTTTTTTTCTCTCTTTCTCTACTCATAGTTCTTCCCCACCTCTTCTAGATGTTCTCCCATACCAAGCCCTGTGCTGGGTTCCTTCCAGAAAGGTCTCACTAGTGTTGCTTGAAACTCTTGAGAAACTATGCATCCTCTTGAGGTGTTTCTTGTGTCTTTGGGGCTACAGATATGAACACCTTTCGGAATCGTCTTCCATTGACCAATCCCAGCCAAGCCCCAGAGGAAGAAAATGAGGCCCACCTCCCACCACCTATCTCCAACCAGTACTCAGGAGAGGCCTCTCTGCAGGTAAACTGGAATGGCCAGAGCCTAGCACACCAAGACCTCTACTTACTGCCAAATGCTTTGGTCAGAGTTGACAAGTACACTCAGACTGGCCATTTAGGGTCTGGCTGTGAAGTCAGACTAACAGCTTTTTTTCTTTTCTTCTTTCTTTCTTTCTTTCTTTCTATTCTTTCTTTCTTTCTTTTATTTTTGATGGTCTGGGCTTGAACTCAGGACCTAGGCACCGTCCCTTTTTTGCTCAAGGCTAGCATTCTATCACTTGAGCCACAGTTCCACTTCTGGCTTTTTAAATTTTATTGATTTATTTGTTTGTTCATTTGCTGGCTAGAGATGAGAGTCTCACAGATTTTTCTGTCTGGGCTGGCTTTGAACCATGATCCTCAGACCTCAGCCTCCTGAGTAGCTTTGGATTATAGATGTGAGCCACTAGCACCTGACTCCTAACAGCCTTTCTTGTTTCCCCCATCAGGCCACCCTACTAGGTCTTGTAGCCCTAAACAAGGCCTATCCAGAAGTGCTAGCTCCAGGAGGGACTGCCTGTGTGACCCCCACATCTCCATGGCCCAGCCCTCTCCCCTGGCCTGGGAGTATCCTGAGCTGGGCAAGACCCCCAGGGGCCAAGGACACTGAGGCCCTGTTGCTCATGGCACTCAGGTCCCCAGGGCTGAGAGCACTGGAGGCTGGAACAGCAGTGGAGCTCCTGGATGTCTTCTCAGGCCTGGAGGTCAAGGGCGAAGAACTGGCGGAGGCAATAGCTGCTGGGAACACAGGGGCGCCGCTCCCCAAACGGGCAGCTGAGCTGCGGGAGGCCCTAAAGCAGGGATCCCGAGGACTGGCCCTTCGGCTGTGGCCACAGCTGCGGGTGGTGGTGACTCTGGATGCAGGAGGACAGGCGGAGGCAGTGGCTGCCCTTGGGGCTTTGTGGTGTCAAGGGCTAGCCTTCTTCTCTCCTGCCTATGCTGCTTCTGGAGGTCAGCTGAATGCAGGCTGGGTGGAGCAGGGATGGGTCACAGGTTATACAGTCTCGGCCATACACTGAGTCCTACAGACTCCTTGAATGCTTCATACACTGTACACACTGGGGATTCTCAGCTGTATCTCACAGATGTGTGAACACTCAGGTTCACAGAGAAGCAGGAATGTTGCATGAAACCCCCCAGTTTTAGGATTTACTCTCTGCTCTGCTACCTCTAAAGCCACAGCCCTCTGCCTGCCTCTTCCCAGAAGGGAACAAACAAGGCTGGGCCTAGAAGCCAGAAAGAATGGGGAGGAGGATGGGGAGAAAGGGGGGCCCGGAGTCCAGGATAAGGCTTGGCGGCCTGCTGCTGTTGTCTGATGTCAGTGCACCACCAGATGGCAAAGAAGTTGCTTTGCTCCCTGCAGGGGTGGTAGGCCTAAACTTATGGCCAGAGCAGCCCCATGAGCTCTACCTCCTGCACCCTGGAGCCCCTTTTATTGAGCTGCTCCCAATCAAGGAAGACACTCAAGAGGAGACAGCTCCCACCTTCCTTCTGACTGAAGCCCAAAGGGGCAAGGAGTATGAGCTGGTGCTGACTGACCACGTCAGCCTGACCAGGTGATCCGCTGCCCCTGCCCCTGCTACCTCAGGCCTTCTGATGCCCCGCTGGGGGAGGGGGGCGAGCAAGGGGGTGAGCTCACCCTCTCTCCCAACCCTCCTCCCTCAGGTGCCGCTTGGGTGATGTGGTACAGGTGGTTGGTGCCTATAATAAGTGTCCAGTTGTCAGATTCATGTACAGGTAAGCAACCCCAGGGGTACTGAAGGGCTGTCCTTGTATACTGAGCACCACTGCCTTTGCCCTCTTCCTCCCCCAGGCTGGACCAGACTCTGAGTGTACGGGGAGAAATGACTGGTGAGAAGATGTTCTCCGAAGCCCTGGCCCAGGCAGTGGGACAGTGGCCAGGAGCTAAGCTGTTGGACCATGGCTGTGTGGAAAGCAGCATTCTGGGTAAGGGTTGCCATAATCTATATCCATCCTGCCAGGAGACCTCTAAAAAGAAGGAAAGGATCCACTTCCTTTACTGCTCCTAACAAAAGTCCCTCTTTGGATCTAACTCCCTTCTTTCCTGCTGCACTTTTTACCTACTTCCTTTCCTGACCTGTCTCACATTTAAGATTAGGCTCTAGGTTCTTTTCCATTTGCCCTTGTCCCCCCCTGTCCCCCCATGAGCCTCAGAAGAGGGAAGAAGAGATGGGGGCAAAGGGTGTTGGCCCTGAAAACCACCCCATTCTCAGGAAAAACGTGTGCATGTGGGGTTTGTCTGCAGACTCCTCTGACGGCTCTGCTCCGCACTACGAGGTGTTTGTGGAGCTGAGGGGGCTGCGGAATCTGTCGGAAGGAAATCGAGAAAAGGTAAAGGGGATGGGGCCAGGAGGTGACCACCTGTTCTCCATTCCACACATCCCCAGGGCAGTGACAGGGAGAGAGAGGCAGGGGGGGAGAGGCCCCTTTCCAGGGCTCAGGATGGGAAGGGTGCTGAATGCATGTTACCCACCTCCCCAAGCATAGTCATGTATACACAGCCTCATGCCGGCCTCTGACCATTCTGTTCTCAGCTGGACCACTGCCTCCAGGAAGCCTCGCCTCACTACAAGTCTCTGCGGTTCAGAGGCAGCGTGGGCCCTGCCAGGGTGCACCTGGTGGGGCCAGGGGCCTTCCAAGCACTCCGGGCTGCCCTGGCCTCCTGCCCCTCAGCTTCCTTCCCTCCCTCCATGCCCCGGGTCCTTAGGCATAGGCACCTGGCCCAGCTCCTGCAGAGAAGGGTAGTGTCCTGAGCCACGGGTGCCTACAGCCCTGCTATCCACAGCACCAGCCTGACTCTTTCCTCTGAGGCCTCTCTGGATGGAGAGTCCTTGGCCAGAGACTTTCACTTGACATTGGCTCATCAGAGCCCCTGGGCCTGATGGGAAATGTTGGCCTTTGTTGGCTAATTCTGAAGTGTGAGCTTTAGGACTATAGCAGAATGCAGCAGTGCCCTGCCCATATCCACCTTGGCCGGCTATGGAGGACATTACTAGAGGATTCCCAGTCATACCAATGGTTTCCTGTGTCTCTCAGCCCAGTGGTGTTCTCTGGCCACTTGACCCATGTATTGGGGTGGGCCAAAATAAATTGGAATTCATGTCCTTCATCAGTATGTGGGACAGGAGTTGATGAATAAAAACCTCAGCATCGTTTCTCTGAGTAAGACAAGTTTCAAGTGTGTTCTTTCTGTAAGATCTCTTGAGGGTCCCCAGCAGGGTGATTGGAAGCCACCTGCAGCAGTAGTGAGTTACTATGACCCTCCTCCTTTGCTCAATCTGAAGTGCTTCCTGGAGGATTGAGCAGCTCCTTCTTGCCTAAGGCAACCTAGAAAACACAGACTGCCTTTCAGCTTCCGCCTGAGTCACCAGCAAAGCTGAAAGGTGAAAAAGCTGTTCACAACGTCCAGTGCCCTATAAGGACCCTTTTCTGACCAAACAACCACAACTCACTTCTATGTGGGCATAGGGGGAGCTATACTTCAAATTACAACGTCATCACAGTAGGAAGCAAATTCAGAGCAGTGGGGAAACTGAGCCTCCCACCTTGTGTGATTTCCTAAGGCCCCATAGGTCCTAAATCAAGGCTGCTCTGTTCTGGATCATTTGTTGAACTTCCAATTCTACCTCTGCACTGCAACTCAGTCCCTCTAGGGTCCCCGAGGGTGGGCCCCTCCCTTGTCAGCCACCTCCACCACAGCCCACGACTTTCCCATTTCAACCCCACCCCACAGTGGCTCTCCATCGACAGAGGAAGACCAATCAACTTGAACCATTAGGTCCTTTGAACATTCTTGTCTGGTGCTGGTAGCTCACACCTATAATTCTAGCTACTCAGGTGTAAGGATCAGAACAGCCTTGAGTAAAAAAGCCAAGTTAAGAGTACAGTGCCCAGAGTTCAAGCCCAGTACTGGCACAGAATAAAAAAGAAAAGACAATGCTGGCCCTCACAGTCATTTCTCTTTTCTCCATACTGAGTACCACGCCCCCACCCCACGTGAGCAAAGCCCTGTCACCTCCAACTTTTATCAGTTGTCTCTTCTGAAGCACGCCTGTTCCTTTAACCTACTTGTCTACTTTTCAGACAAAGCCTTCAAGAGCCCCAGCTCTCCTCTCACTTCCCCTCCCCATCCCTGCAACCCAGGCGGAAGTCTTTGCTGATGACTATTCTTCCCTCTCTTGAATTCTTGTGTCAAATGTCACCACACTCAGACTTGTGTGTTTCTTGAAAGCAGGCCTATGTACTTTGCTGCACTCGTGCTACGCGAGGCTGGCCTAGAACAGGGGCTCGGTTACAGTGCCCTAAATAGAAGCTAAGTTTACAGAGAATATGAGTCCTTCATGCTAAATGGATCTACCACTAAAGATAGAGAAGGGGGCTAGGCACCAGTGGTTCATACCTGTAATCCTAGCTACTCAGGAGGCTGAGATCTGAGGATAGTGGTTCAAAGCCAGCTCAGGCAGGAAATTCCATGAGGATCTTATCTCCAATTAACCACCAGAAAACTGGAAGTGGAGCTGTGGCTCAAAGTGGTAGAGCACTAGCCTTGAGCAAAAGAGCTGAGGGACAGTGCTCAGGCCCTGAGTTCAAGTCTCACCACTGACAAAAAAAAAAAAAATCAGTGGAGAAAAGGGGATCCCATGGAGATGGGGGGAAGAAGAAGAAATGAGGAGGATACTGTTCCACCAGCTTCTAGCAGGAACCAAGCCTGGCTGCATTTTGCTCCTACTGCCTGCAGTGGCTCTCCAGGGTTTTCCATCATGAAGATTGGTGGAATGGGTAGAAGGAAAGGAAAGCTGGGCAGCAGGGGAAAGCAGCTCAGAAACTGTCTCCATGGAGGAAGAAGGCTCTGGAACCTGACAGATCCCAGAGGCAGTGACAGGGAAGGGTGGGGGCTTGTTCTGTCTCAACACAATGGACACACAGGCACAATGCTGCCCCTAATTAGTAGCTGCCCTCTCCCGCATTGTCCCAGGCAGTGCCCCAGAGAAGGCTTAGGCTTCTATTATCCAGTCAGATTCCTGGGTGCAAGGTGGCCTCATTAGTGCTGGGAGACCACCCCATCTCCAAGGAGCAGGCAGATAGACAAAAGAGGGGAACCAAGGTCACAGACATCCAACCCGGGCCTCCTAATCCCTCCACCGCCATTCCTTAGGCCCAACCTGGAGACGGCCCCCATTTTGGGATACTAATCTTAGACTGGCCTTTGTCTGGCTCTGGAAAGGACGCAAGTGATCCTCGTGTCCCCGCCATCTCAGAGCACTATAAACCCTGGACCCCTGCTAGTGGGTCACACCCAGACGCTGGTCTCAAGCTGTGCAGCTATTTGGACCTCTGCACTGCAGACACTTCCTTTTCGGCCTAACCTGACGCCATGAAGCTTCCTTCCACAAAGGTAAAGACACCATAGCAGGGAGGTAAAAGGAATGCTTGCTCAGGGGGCTGGAGAAAAGGCCAAAAGTGTTTCCCTAATGTGAACTCCTGGCCACTAACCTGACTTAGCTAACACCATGTCCTGTGCCCTGTTCTTCTAAGAGCTTATGTTTATTGAGGATTTACTATGTGCCTGTTTGTACCTGACTTCTCATCCTCCCAGTAACCCTGCACTGTACAGGTAGAGGAACTTTGTTCTAAAGAGTGCAAAATGGGTCAGAAGTCATGGTGTCCTGTTTCCCCTGCAAGGGCAAAAGGCAGAGGATTCAACAGCCTAGAGTACTGCTGATCATGGATTTCTACCTGTTTGCTTGCTGTGTGGGCAAGGGGGTGGGGAGGGTGACTTTAACTAAGGCTTCTGTTTTCCCCATGTTAAAAACAACTTCTGGCTGGGTGCTGATGGCTCACATCTGTAATCCTAACTACTCTGTAATCCTAGCTAGTCAGGAGGCTGAGATCTGAGGATCTTGGTTCGAAGCCAGCCTGGGCAAAAAAATCCCTGTGAAACACTTATCTCCAATTAACCACTCAAAAAACTGGAAGTGGCTCCATGGCTCAAGTGGTAGAGTGCTCGCCTTGAGCTGAAGAGCTCAGGGACAGTGCCCAGGTCCTGAGTTCAAGCCTCATGACTTAGAGAAGAGAAAAAAAAAAAAAAGAGGGAAAAAAAACCCACAAACAAACCAAAAACAACAATAATGAAAAACCTGGAGCAGACAGACTCAGACACACCTGTCTCTAGGTGGAATGGTAAGCCTTTAATATGGGGACAGGCAATCTCCAATGGACTTCCTGGGGGAGATACTCTGCTGGGTCTTGCAGGATGAGCTAGCAAAGGAGACAGCAAGGACAGAAGCAGGAAAACTGATTGTCAGCACAAGGTTAGAAGAGTTAGGGCCTGAGCAATGGAGGCTAGTGGATGGGCCGGGAGAGAGGAAGACCTCCAGCATTCTTGTCTCTGCCTCCCTCCCTAGGTCTCCTGGGCGGCTGTGACATTGTTGCTGCTGCTGCTGCTGCCGCCCGCGCTCCTGTCCCCCGGGGCGGCCGCGCAGCCTCTGCCTGATTGCTGTCGCCAGAAGACGTGCTCCTGTCGCCTGTACGAGCTGCTGCACGGCGCGGGCAATCACGCCGCCGGCATCCTCACGCTGGGCAAGCGGAGGCTGGGACCCCCGGGCCTCCAGGGCCGGCTGCAGCGCCTCCTGCAGGCCAGCGGCAACCACGCCGCGGGCATCCTGACCATGGGCCGCCGCCGCGCAGGCGCAGAGCCCCCGGCCCGGCCCTGCCCCGGCCCACCTTGTCCCGCCGCTGCAGCCGCTGCAGCCGTGCCCGCCGGGCGGCCCGGAATCTGAACCCTTCTCTCCTGTCCCTGTTCGGGTCCTGTCTTCTCCCTTTTGCTCGCCGGTGTCAGTCCCTAGTAAAAAGGCAATAAAGACGACTCTCTGTTCGTGTGACTGGACTTTGTTACAGTGTGTCGCCCCCCACCCCACCGGCGCCTTCCAGGGGGCGCCAGAACATCTTTTTTATATTTAAAACGTTTTATTGTTATTATAAAGGTGATGTACAGAGGTGTTACAGTTACAGACGATAAAGAGTACATTTCTTTTTTGATGTCGCCCCTTCCCTTGCTCAGGGAGAGCATTTTAAAGAAGCTAAAGGCCTGGTAGTCTAGCAGGTCGGAAACAGCCGCTGGTGGCTCACGCCTGTAATCCCAGCTTCTCAGGAGGCTGAGATCTGAGGATCCGAGGTTCAAAGCCAGCCCGGGCCGTAAAGTCAGTGAGATTCATCACCAATAAGCCATCAGAAAACCAGAAGTGGCACTGTGGCTCAAGTGGTAGAGCGTTTGCCTTGAGCCGAAGAGCTGAGGGACAGAGCCCAGTCCCAGAGTTCAAGTCCCATGAAGCATCTGGTCTGAACCATCTGGTGGGACCATCTGCAAAGCCCTGGAGTGCAGGGCTAGCTGCACAGATGCATGCTTAGTTGGGGAGGACACGGGACAGCTATGCCCCCACATTGCTCTGCAAACTATCTCAAGACCCGAGGGAGGAATCAAAGCATTGCCAGGCACAGGTGGCTCAGGCCTGTAATCATAGGATCAAGGTTCAAAGACAGCCCAGGTAAGAAAGCTTGTAAGACATTTCCAATTAACTACCCCAAAAGCTGGAAATGGAGCTTGGCTAGCCTTGAGTAAAAAAGGCTCAGGGAGGAAGAGGAGGAGGAGGAAGAGGAGGATGAAGAGGAGGAGGAGGAGGAGGAGGAGGAAGAGGAGGAGGAGGAGGAGGAAGTATGTTAAGAAGGCTTGCAGACGGGGCTGGGAAGGTAGCTCAGCGGTAGAATGCATGCCTTGCAAGCATGAGGCCCTGGGTTCGATTCCTCAGCACCACATAAACAGAAAAAACCGGAAGTGGCGCTGTGGCTCCAGTGGTAGAGCGCTAGCCTTGAGCTGAAGAGCTGAGGGACAGCGCCCAGACCCAGAGTTCAGGCCCCATGACCAGCAAAAAACAAACAAAAAAAACAAAAAACAAAAAGAAGGCTTGCAGAGGATAGAGATGAGAGCCTAACCTGCCCAAAAGACAGGGCATACAAGCTTGTATCTCCAGAGGGATTGCAGTGTGAGGTATAGGGATGAGGAGTAGAAATGCTTCTGAAAATGAGTTCCTGGGATGAGTTGGCACAAACTGGATTGTGAAGGTTCTAATCAATTATCACACTGCCCATCATTCTGTAACAATGATAGTGGGGTGTGTGTGGGAGGAGGGGTTCTTAAGCAGCAATGGGACAAGACTTTTCTGTAACTATAGTCAAAGACACTAGAGGATTAATTGGCATTCCTCCCAAAATGCCTATATTGAAGTCTAACCCCAGACATTCAGAATCTGACCTTAGCTAGGTACTGTTGGCTCAACACCTGTAATCAGCTACTCAGAAGGCTGAAATTTGAGGATTGTGGTCTGAAGCCAGCCTGGAAAGACAAAAGTAAGAGACTCTTATTCCCAGTTAACCACCAAAAAGCTGGAAGTGGAAGACTGTCCCAAGTGGTAGAACACCAGCTTTAGTAAAAACAAACAAACAAACAAACAACTAAGGGACAGCATCTAGGCACTGAGTTCAAGCCCCATTACTGCCACATACAAAAAATTAATAATAATGAAAATTAAAAAGGGGCTGGACTCTGGTGGCTCAGGCCTGAAATTCTAGCTACTCAGGAGGCTAAGGTCTGAGAATCACAGTTCAAAGCCAGCCTGGCTTGGAATGCCTGTGACTCTTATCTCCAATTTAACCACTCAAAAACTGGAAGTGGAGGGCTGGGAAGGTGGCTCAGTGGTAGAGCGCTTGCCTTGCATGCCTGAGGCCCTGAGTTCGATTCCTCAGCACCACATAAGCAAAAAGAAAAAAGCCGGAAATGGTGCTGTGGCTCAAGTGGTAGAATGCTATCCTTGAGCTGAAGAGCTGAGGGACAGCGCCCAGGCCCAGAGTTCAGGCCCCACGACCGGACCAAAAAAAAAAACTGGAAGTGGAGCTGTGCTTCAAGTGGAAGAGTGCGATCCTTGAGTGGAAAAACCTAACAGATATTACCCAAGCCCCGAGTTCAAGCCCCAGTATGGCGCGTGTGCGCGCACACACACACACACACACACACACACACACACACACACATGACTAAAGCCAGGTATCAGTGGCCCATGCCTATAATCCTAAATGCTCCAGGAGGCTGAGATCTGAGGGTCATGGTTCAAAGCCAAGCTAGGCAGGAAAGTCCATGAGACTCTTTATCTTATCTTCAATTCACCACCAGAAAACCAGAAGTGGCACTGTGGTTCAAAGTGGTAGCGCAAGCCAGGCGCTGGTGGCTCACGCCTGTAATCCTAGCTACTCAGGAGACTGAGATCTGAGGATCGCGGTTCAAAGCCAGCCGGGGCAGGAGAGACCATGAGACTCCTATCTCCAATAAACCACCAGAAAACCGGAAGTGGCGCTGTAGCTCAAGTGGTAGAGCGCTCGCCTTGAGCTGAAGAGCTGAGGGACAGCGCCCAGGCCCAGAGTTCAAGCCCCACGACCGACAAAAAAAAAAAAAAAAAAAGTGGTAGCGCACTAGCCTTGAGCAAAAGAAAGAGCTCAGGAACAGAACCCATGACTGGGTTTAAGCCCCATGACTGACAAAAAAATTTTTTTTTTTAAAAGAAAGACTACAGGGGCTGGGAAGGTGGCTCAGTGGTAGAGCGCTTGCCTTGCAAGCCAGAGGCCCTGGGTTCGATTCCTCAGCACCACATAAGCAAAAAAAAGAAAAAAAAAGCCGGAAGTGGCGCTGTGGCTCAAGTGGTAGAGCGCTAGCCTTGAGCTGAAGAACTGAGGGACAGCGCCCAGGCCCAGAGTTCAGGCCCACGACGGGACCCAAAAAAAAAAAAAGAAAGACTACATAATTCTCTCAATAATTGCATGAGGTAGTTGCTAGAAAGACTGTCACACAGTTCATGTCCAGACCTAAGAGTCTGACCTGCTGGGCTCATTAGAGTTTAGCTGGTATCCTCAGCAAAGAGAGAGAAGACAAGAGTTAGTTGGGCTTACTTCCTGGGGGAAGCTGGGCTTCTAAGATTTCACTTTTTTTGTTTTTTGTTTTTGTTTTTGTTTTGGTTGGTTGTGGCGCCTGAACTCTGGGCCTAGGTGCTGTCCCTCAGCTCTTCTGTTCAAGGCTAGCGCTCTGTCACTTGAGTCACAGTGCTACTTCTGGCTTTTTCTGCTTATGCAGTGCTGAATAATAGAACCCAGGGCCTCCTGCATGCAAGGCAAGCACTCTACCACTGAGCCACCTTCCCAGCCCCACTTTTTTTTTTTTGGCCAGGCCTTGAACTCAGGGCCTGGGCACTGTCCCTGGGCTTCTTTTGCTCAAGGCTAGCACTCTACCATTTGATCCACCGCACCACTTCCAGCTTTTTTCTGTTTGTATGTGGTACTGAGGAATCGAACCCAGGGCCTGCTGCATGCAAGGCAAGCACTCTACCACTGAGCCACATTCCCAGCCCGACTTCACATTTTTTGAAATAAATTTTTATTTTTTATTGTTATTATAAAGGTGATGACCGTCAGGTAATGAATGAGTCCATTTGTTTCTGGACAAATGAATACTTCACATCTTTAACTCCTAATCCACAAAAACTAGCCTCTGAACTCTGGCTCTATCACACAGGGACGCTGCAAACATGCCAACTCCAGCAGGCGGCACTGTGAACCAGACACCAGTCCCAGCGTGGGCCGCGCGGGGGGGGGGGGAAACCCGTGGGGTGGAGCCACGGGAGCAGCCAGGGAACCACGCGCGGGGGCGTGGCCACCCTGGACGAGGGGCGTGTCTTCCAGACAAGCCCCACCTCCCGATGGGCGTGTCTTCAAGTCTCTTTCCCCCAAGAGACACGCGTGGGCCGCTCCCCTGCGGGAGGGAGGAGGGCTGCGGAGAGGGGTGCGGGAGTCTCTGGCGGCCCCTCCCCGTGAGGGGCCACGTGGCGGGCGCGGGCCGAACCCTCAGGGAAGAACCTGACCCGTGGGGAGGGGGGGCGGTGACGGAGGCGGTGCCGAGTGGAGCCAAGAGCTCCGGGGTTCAGAGCCGAGAGGCAGCGCGGTGGAAGAGGGAGGGGAGGAGGCAGGCGGGCGCATGGGGCGCCCGGGCCCCGCGGGCAGCACGCCCCCTCCAGCCCGGCCCCGCTGACCGCTCCTCCGCCGCGCAGCCCCTCGAACCCGCGTCCCGGGGCCATGCCTGTCATGAAGGGGTTGCTGGCCCCGCAAAACACCTTCCTGGATACCATCGCCACCCGTTTTGACGGCACGCGTGAGTGGGGCGCAAGGCTGGAGGGGGGGGCGAGGGGTTCGAGATGGGGGGGAGCGGGATGTCAAGTCTTCGGAGGGCCGGGTCGAGGTCTCCTGGATGAGGTGGGATCTGAAGAAGAGGGGTTGGAATTGCAGGTCTCCGAACTCCCGCAGCAGCAGCAGCCGCGGTGGTGAAGAACCCCCCCCCCCCCGCGCTCCCGGGCAGGGGAGGAGGGGAAAGGACCCCAACGCTGGGGGGCGGGCGGGGCGGGGGTGGCAGGGGGTGTGACTCCCGGCAGAAGAGGCTCTTTGTGCGGCAAAACCCAGGAGGGGTCCGGGGAGCCACCCACTCCGGGGCAGAGTTGTGCTGGGGGCGTGCATGGTGTGTGGGGGGGCGTTATAGGAACACGGAGGTGGGATCAGGGGCCGGGCATTTAGGGGCAACTAGTCCCAGATGACTCCAGCTTCCTCTTCTTTCGGCGTTGGGGGTGGGGGGGGGGAGGAGTAAAATAAATAAATAAAAAGAAAAGAAAGGAAAATCGAACTTTGGCAGGACCTAGCTTGGATAAACATCACGCGCCCCTAAATCGTGAGGTGTCACGAAGGTGCAGTTTGGAGCGGGAGGGAACTCCTTGCTCACCCACCCGAGCTCAGGTCCCGAGTTCAGCACCTTGGACAGCCTCATTACTCCTCGGCCTCTTCTTCCATTCTTGCTGCCTACTCTGGAGCTTAGAGATCTTTCTCCTAACCCCACCCCCACACCCCCACACCCCCACACCCCTTTGGGAATTCTGGCCGGGATCAGGAGGGTGGGGGGACCGTAGCTGAGGGCGGAAACTGAGCCGCCAGGGCCTTACCCGCCTCTCCCCTCCTCCCCACACCTCCCCTGTTTCCATAGCGCCAATCACCGAGGCAACGGCCCTGGGATGGAAGAAGTAGGCTGCGCCCAGGGCCCAGTCTCTCCCAGGTACCTTCAGTGTCCCCACCAGTCCCCCTGACCCCCTAACAGTCCTAGGATCTCAGGGCTGGTTGTATCTCAGGCCCCATTCCTCAACTGAGACTGGATGACACCCCCCCCCACACACACACACACTTATTGGAGATAAAGGGAGCCAGCTCAAGTTCCAGTGCTGTGCTAGGAGTTGCTAGATCCCACCCCAACCCCTGCTCCCAATCCTTCCCCAGTTTGACACTGAATACTGGGGACAGATCCGCTGAAAACAGCCAAAGGAATGCTAAAGGGTGGAATTTTTTCCTGGAAGGCAAGCATGAGGACACTCTCTCTGCATGATTTCCCCCACCCCCTCAACCCCCTGACACTAAGGAAATTGTGACTTTGGAAAATTTCAGTAAAAGAATATGATGTCAGCAGAATCTTTGCCCTGCTCACTATAACAAGATGACAGGATGGTGTCTATAGATATGCTTCCAAAGCTGAGCAAAGGTGGGGGGAAATCCTCTCACCTGCTCAGAGTAGCGTTTACCAAGTGCCAGGACTTGTTCTCCCCAAGTTAACTGATGCAGCTACAGCAACCCTGAGAAGAAGGCACACTGTGCACCACTTTGCAGATAAGGAAGCAAGGCTCAGGAAAGGTTACTAACTTGGGCAAGGTCAGTGGCAGGGGAGGGTGCTGGAGTCCACGCTCTTATAGTGCTCTGCCACCTCCTGCAACCACAGCTCATCCATTGAAGGGAGAGGTTGGACCCTTGGCTGCTTCTCCAATCCTCCAGTAGTTTCTGCCTCTTTAGGCCAGTTTTGAGTCCTTATCCCTTTGCTTTCTCTCTGGTCTCCATTTCAGAATATTCCTGAAGGGAATCAGGACCCACAGAGAACCCTGGAAAGCTTCTAGCTTTACTCCTTCTGACTACAACTTGGGGGAGTGCTGCCCACTTGGAAGCTAGCTAGCTCCCCTCCTAGCTTGGAGCTGACCTTGACCTCTTCTTCCTACAGACAGCAACTTCCTACTGGCCAACGCACAGGGTCCACGAGGTTTTCCTATCGTTTACTGCTCTGACGGCTTCTGTGAGCTCACTGGCTACGGCCGCACTGAGGTCATGCAAAAAACCTGCAGCTGCCGATTTCTCTATGGCCCAGAGACCAGTGAGCCTGCTCTGCAGCGGCTGCACAAAGCCCTAGAGGGTCACCAAGAGCACCGGGCTGAAATCTGTTTCTACCGCAAGGATGGTGAGGGACCTTGATCAACCCCCACAGCCTTGCTCAAACCTCAGGTCCCAGGCCTTCCCCAGAGTCTGTTGGGCATAGTAGAAGCCTGGATGTCCCCTTCCATACTGCCACATGCTGATTTTGGGACTGAACTCATCCCTGACACTGGACCTCTGTTTCTCCATCTAGAAAATGAATCAGCTGACAAAAAATCTCTGGTTCCTTTCAGCTGGAAACATTTGCCAAGGTCTTTTGACTATAACCAGCAACCAAAAGGGACCAGGGAGAAAGTCATGCAAGAAACTGCTCACCTTCCTCCCTCTTCCTCTCTTTCTCTCTCTTTCCATACTCACAGGCTCAGCCTTTTGGTGCCTCCTGGACATGATGCCCATCAAGAATGAGATGGGGGAGGTGGTGCTGTTCCTCTTTTCCTTTAAGGACATCACTCAGAGTACAGGCCCAGGACTGGGTCCCTCAGGAGTCCATGGGGACAGTAATCATGGTAAATACAAGTTGATGTCTTTGTTCCAGGTCACATGAGATTCCTCTCCCCTCCCAGCTTCATAGGGTGTCTCCTCACGTAACTCTGTACGCTGCCTTCCAACAGAAAACTCCCTTGGCAGGAGAGGAGCCACATCAAAACTTCGCTCCACCAGGAGACAGAGTCGTACTGTTTTACACCGACTGTCTGGCCACTTTAGTCGCCGGAACCAGAGAAACACGAAGACCAATAATGTGAGTCTGACATCCTCATCTAAATGTCCCCATCCCCCAAGTTCTCCAGCCTAAAGTCCCTGCTACTATCTTCCTGTTTTACCCTCTCTGCCCCATCTCCTCTGTAGGCTTGTTCCTCCATCCACTATGTATCCCTCATGCCTCCTCCATTCCTGTCTCCCTGACTGACGTTGCCCTGGTGATATCACAGAGGTGGAATTCTAGCAGCACTTATACCACCTAGCCTTGATTGCTAGGGTTATATCATGAGGGTGAAATCATAAGCTATTACAGTCCTAGGAAGAAAGCCCCCATTACAGACATAGTATCTTGCCTTGTATGTCATCCTGTGTGCATCCTGACAAAGCCAGAGGATGGAGTGTCCAGCCCTTTGTGTAGTCTGTGAGGACCACAGCAAATAGGGCAGGTGGTTTTAGCTTTCCCTTCTGCCATTAGGGCCCAGAACCCATGAGGAATTCAAGCTAGGGTATGCATCTGGTAGATCATAATTTTCTTCTCAAGTAGGATGAGGGTCAATCCTTACAAATGCATGTCGCCTCCCACCCCCCCCCAAAAAAACCCAGAATTGGTTGAAAAGAGGGCCTGGGAGGAAGTTTGGCAGAAGGAAGAGAGCATTAAGTGCCCACCTCTGAACCCTTATCCAATACCTTCTATCTCCTCTCATGGCCACCCTAATAGTGGCCACTTTTCCCTTTTCCCCATCCCTTGCCTCTCTCCTTTCCCCCAGCCTCGACTCATCTTTCCCCCAAGTGTCCCCAACCACAACCCCTCTCCCTTTAGAACGTGTTTGAGCCAAAACCATCAGTGCCTGAGTACAAGGTGGCCTCCGTGGGGGGGTCCCGCTGCCTCCTCCTCCACTACAGCGTCCCCAAAGCCGTCTGGGATGGCCTCATCCTCCTTGCCACCTTCTACGTTGCGGTCACTGTCCCCTACAATGTCTGCTTCTCTGGTGATGATGACACCCCCATCGCTTCTCGACACACCCTTGTCAGCGACATTGCCGTGGAGATGCTCTTCATTTTGGGTCAGACCCTCTGCCCCACTGATCCTAGAGGGTGGGCTGTTGGTGTCGGGCCCAGGGGGGGGGGGTCTTACTGAAGTCAAGCCTTGCTGCATTTTGGTTATAAAGAACTTGGCCCCATTTTTTTCTGTGTTAACTCCCATGGGCTATGTGCTGTGCCCCCTGCAGTCTGTGGCCTCTCCTTCCTCCAGACCAGCCACTGCCTAATCTTTCCCCATTCTTGCCTTGTGACTGTTCAAGTCTCATTAGCTCCCCGGCCCAAGTTCCTAGGCCAAGACTCCCTCATAACAACTTTCTGCATCCTCAGATATCATCCTGAACTTCCGCACCACCTATGTGTCCCAATCTGGTCAAGTGGTTTCTGCCCCTCGTTCTATTGGCCTGCACTATCTGGCCACTTGGTTCTTCGTGGATCTCATTGCTGCTCTGCCCTTTGACCTGCTTTACATCTTCAACATCACTGTGGTGAGTGACTTCTATCAGGCCCTGGGCCTTAGCCTTGGAACTTCTGCACAGCATCATCTCCCCTTAGAGGACCAAGTCCAGTTGCAATCTTTCCCATCAACCCAGCTGCGAATACTTATCTGGCACAGTCCTGGGCGAGGTACCAGGAAGAATCTGTGCTGTTGGAGAGCTCAGCTCACTATCTTTGAAGGAAGCTGAGATAAATGAAAAGCTAACTATGGCTACCAGGGCGGTATTGGTCTGATGCCAGATGAGGGGTACTTTTCACATTTTTATTTAACAAACAACCGATGAGCATTTAGCTGTCTGCAAAGCAGTATGTAGGGCATGGTCACTGTGGGGAGGTGGGGAGGGGAGGTAAGAGACAGAGATTCGGCCTCAAAACCTCTAAATTAGTGAGGGAGGCAGGAACTCCAACAGACACACTGAATGGGAGCTGAAAATGGGACCCAGGGACTGGGCTGAACTTGAAGATGCAGGCTGGAATAGGAGTGTATGTGGGCAGGGGGGCCAGCACCTAGGAGTAGAAGCATCTCCGTTGGGCAGAGGCTAGAATATCCTGGGAAGAAAGTGTTTCTGGTGGAGGCCAGAATAGAGTGAGACCTTAAGTGGTGAATAGGATTTGGCTTGCAAGAGATAAGGGCAAGCTGGGTGCTCCTGGCTCACACCTGTAATCCTAGCTACTCAGGAGGTTTAGATGTGAAGATTATGCTTTGAAGACAGCCTGGGCAGGAAAGTCCCTGAGACCTATATTTTCAGCTAACAACCCAAAAGCTGGAAGTGGAGCTGTATGGCTCAAGTGGTAGAGCTTAAGAATAGCACAGACCTTGAGTTCAAGCCCCACTACTGGCATACACATGCACACACTTGCATGTGCATACACACACACACACACACTGTAGAGTGGTATTGGAGGAAGTGTAGTAAGTCAAGCCTGGGACATAGAGGCTATGGGTAGATTTAGAGGCAGAGGATTCTTGGGACTACCTGGAGATGCCCTGAATGTGGCACCAGTCCAGGGAGAGGCAGGACCACCCTTGTCCCGAGGCCCCCTTGGCTGCTGGGAGGGGCGGTGGGGAGCAGTTTCCCTGTGCGCTCTCTGCGCTGCACTCAGCTATAGCAGGAAACCACCTACACGCAGCCGGATTTAACTAGCCGCCAACGGGCTGTGGGCCTCTTCTCCTGGCTGTGCACACGTGTGTGCATGCTCCTACACACGTGCATGTGTGTAAGTCCTAGCTCTGGCCACTCCAAGTAGGCCTCCCTACTCCTACCTAGGTGTGCAGCTATGCCTTTGTGCCATTGGCAGAGTCAGCCTGGCAGCTGGTCTTGAAAGAGAGGAGGAGTTGCAGAGAGCTCTCTGCCTTCCTCTCAGGTAGCCCCCTCAGCTGGCAACTTTGGGAGCACTTGACAGTTCACTACTATACTTTCAGACTTCTCATCACTTAGATGATGAGAAGCCCTTCAGGGAAGATCGTCTTACCCTTCTTTTTCAGAAGTTGATGCAGAGGCTCAGAGAGGTTAAGAGAGTTGCTGAAGGTACACAGTAGGCAGTGGCAGGCAGATTAGGACCAGGTCTCTAATTCTTCTTCTTCTTCCTCCTCTTCCCTCTTCTCCCTTCTCTCTTCTTCATGCTGGTACTAGGGCTTGAACTCAGGGCCTGAGCGCTATCCCTTAGCTTTTTCATTCAAAGCTAGTGTTCCACCATTTGAGTCACGTTGCTACTTCTGGCTCTTTGCTGGTTCATTAGAAATAAGAGTCTCACAGACTGCTTCAAATCATGATCCTCAGATCTCAGCCTCCTGAGTAAGTTAAGGAGTGTGCCACTGGCACTGGGCAGTAGTCTAGTGTGTTCTTGCAAAGGTACCACTTGCTTCCCAGGTAACTAGGGCACTCAAATGGATGGCTTAGAGGAGATGAGGAGCATTTTTTTTTTGAGGGTGGGAATGAGTAGAAAGAATAGAGAGGAGGAATGGAGCTGCAAACCAGGCCAAGAACATTATGGCCCAAGAATAAGAGGAGGGTCCTTAAAGGTGTAGGGTCGAGGCTAGGTGACTCAGGGGTAGTTCCAGGGACTCAGGTTTGAAGTCAGGAATTCTGGGGGCAGGGGTAGATATAAGTCTTTGAGAGGATCTGGAAGAACCAAGTCTTCCTTTACCTCAAGTTGGAAAATAATTGAATGAGGTGATTCAGCAGTGTGGGCCAAGACTTCAGGGAGCATCCTGGAGGCTCCTGCATGGGGAGCAGGGGGCATCAGACTCTCCAGTCCTAGTTTCTACTCAGAAAGCAAGTTTCCTCTCAGAAAACTTGCACCTTATCTCCAGGGTTGGGGGTGGAGGTGGGGGGTAATTACAATGAATTCAATCACAATGGATTGAAATGTTAATCACAGTGAAAAAAGCAGTGTTGAGAAAGGAGCTTAGTGGTAGAGTACTTGTATAGCACAAGTGTGGCCCTGGCTCCATCCCCAGCTTGACCAAAAAGAAAAAAAAAGTCACCAGTGGCTCACACCTGTAATCCTAGCTACTCAGGAGACTGAGATCTGAGGATCTCCGCTCAGGCGCTCTACCACTGAGCCACCTTCCCAGCCCTTGATGAGACTCTTATCTCCAATGAATTACTCAGAAAACTCCAGAAGTGGTGCTGTGGCTCAAGTGGCAAAGAGCTATCCTGGAGGTCAAAGAGGCTCAGGGACAGCACCTGGCCCAGAGTTCAAACCCCAGTACTGGCAAAATTAAAAAAGCAAAAACAAAAACAAGTTGAGGTCATATCAATGAATGTTTATAGGATTCATTGCCCCCATTATCAATGGCTAGCTCAGTCCAGGTGTCCAGCTGACCTCAGGCCCTGCTCTCCTTCCCATCTATAGCTGATCCATATAACTTCTCTCTCTCTCTCTTCCTCTCTCTCTCTCTCTAGCTCTATCTATCTATCTATCTATCTATCTATCTATCATCTATCTCTTTCTCTTTTGTGCCAGGTACTGGGGTTTAGATGTTCCCCCCCCCCCGCCCCCACCTTGACAGGTACTGATATTGAACACCTATTAGGGCCTCATGCTCTAGCTTGGCTTTTTAATTGCCACTCTATCACTTGAACTATACTTCCACTCCCAAATTTTTGTTAACTGGAGATAAGAGTCTTAGACTTCTGCTTCGGCTAGCTTGAAACCAGGATCCTCAGATCTCAGCCTCCTGAGTAGCTAGGATTACAGGTGTGAGCCACCAGCGCCCAGCTCTAACCTCCCCTAGTCCTTAAGCCCTTACCTGTCCCCATTTCACCATGCTTTTCCATGTCAGATATCACTGCTTGATGGTGCCTAGGGCTCTGGAGCTCTGAGATGGAGCTTTCAACCAATCATTCTTTCTCTGACTCTGGCCAGGACTTTCCCTGGCACTATCCTCCAGTGTTAAGGGGCAATGTAGCCCTAAATAGACTTCGGTGTCACTCAGCTCAGACTTGGGTCACAGCCTCATTGTTTCCTTGGTCTGTGATCTTGAGCAAGTCATTAGCTTTGTTGTGCCTTATTTATCAGCAAATTCAGGATAAGTGGACCAAAGGCATAAAGTTGTGTTTTTTCCTTTGAACTTTAGTATCAATGTTATACAGTGCTGGAGTTTCAACTCGAGGCCTTACTATTGCTAGGCAGGCACTCTACTACTTGAGCCACGCCTAGGATTACAGACAGAAGGTGGTGGAGTGTGAAGATCCCAGCTACCCAGGTGAAGATTGAGAGGACTGAGGTTTGAGATCAGCCCAGGCAAAAAGTTAGCCAGATCCCATCTCCAACAATAAATCTGAGTATAATGGCACATTCCTCCCTTGTAGCCTGCTACAAGGGAGGCATAAAAAGGAAGCTGTGGTCCAGGCTGCTGAGGCAAAAACAGGAGATCCTATTCGAAAAATAATTAAAGCAAGCTGGGTGCCGGTGGTTCATGCCTGTAATCCTAGCTAATCAGGAAGCTGAGATCTGAGGATCATGGTTCAAAGCCAGCCCGGGCAGGAAAGTCCGTGAGATTTTGATCTCCAATTAACCACTAGAAAACCAGAAGTGGCACTGTGACTCAAGTGGTAGAGCACTGGCCTTGAACTGAAGAGCTGAGGAACAGCCCCTAGGCCCAGAGTTCAAGCCCCACCACTGATAACCCCTCCCCAAAAAAGAAAAAAACAGCAGAGGTTGGGAAGTGGCTCAGTGGTAGAGTGTTTGCCTTGCATACATGAGGCCCTGGGTTCGATTCCTCAGTACCACATAAGCAGGAAAAGCCAGAAGTGGCACTATGGCTCAAGTGGTAGAGCGCTAGCCTTGAGCTGAAGAGCTGAGGGACAGCACCCAGGCCCAGAGTTCAGGCCCCATGACCAACCAAAAAGAAAAAAGAATTAGAGGCATGACTCAAATGGTGAAGAATCTGCTTAGTGAGCTTGAAGGCCTGAGTTCAAACCCAATCAATCAACCAATGATGTACTTTCTCCCTGGTACCAAGGTGTCTGGTGGGAAGGACTTGGGAAGGGGCCAGTGATAGGTGAGGGCTCTGAGGAGGTGTGCCTGCTGACATCCCCTCCCTCCCCCACCCTTCTGCAGACTTCACTGGTGCACCTGCTAAAGACCGTGCGGCTGCTGCGGCTGCTGCGGCTGCTGCAGAAGCTGGAGCGGTACTCGCAGTGCAGCGCTGTGGTGCTCACGCTGCTCATGTCCGTCTTTGCACTCCTTGCCCACTGGATGGCCTGCATCTGGTATGTCATCGGGCGCCGGGAGATGGAGACCAATGACCCGCTGCTCTGGGACATTGGTGAGCCACCAGCCCCAGCCTTTCACTTCTACCTCTCCACCTATCCAGGACTCACTCCTCCCCCATCCCCCATTCGTCCAGGCATCTCACAAGCATGACCTGTGTATGTTGTGCCTCAGGCTTTGCTGTGGGAGCGGGGGAACCTCATAGCCTAGCAGAGGATCAAAACCCAGCAGTGATGGGGAAGGTGTGCTGTGGGCACAGGAAGCTGCATGTATACAGAGCGAGAAAGAGTTTGGCCCACCCAGTCAGCCTCTATAGATCCTCCTTATTCATATTGAGTGGAGCTACTGATCAAAAGCAGCTTCAGGTCCTCAGTGTCTGATCTGGGAAGGCAGATCAGATCCTGGGCAATTGTTCTTGACCCCAGAACCTGGCCCATCACCTCTCAGATCTGGCATCTTCTCCTAATGTTCTCTGGCCCCTTCCAAGTCCCCCCTACCTCCCTCTCACCCAGTTCCAGCTATGAGCTCCATTGATCTCCTTGTTTCCTTCTCATCCTTACCCCCACTTAACTCCTCATCATAGCCTTCATTCTTGGCCCCCCCAAGAGTCAACACTGACCTGCCACACCCTTGCCTGGACACTTCCAGTGGCTCTGCCCTGCCCTCAAAATTATTACCACTTGTACCTTCTCTATGCCAAGACCCAACCCCCTTTTCTCCAAGTTGCTTTGGCTGAGTTATATCCAGAACCCCGGATGTACCTCTTTCTCACTGTGGAATCCTTCTTGGTATCCTCCCTTATGTCTTTCCTTTATTCTCTCTCTTTTTTTTTTTTTTTTGGTGCTGGCACTGAGGCATGAATCTAGAGTCTAAGCTCGGTCTCTTAGCTTTTTTACTCAAAGCTGGTGCTCTGCCACTTGAGCCACAGCTCCACTTCTGGCTTTTTTGCTGGCTGATTAGAGATAGGAATCCCATGGACTTTGCTGCCCAGGTTGGCTTGGAACCATGGTTCTCAGATCTCAACCTCCTGAGTAGCTAAGGTTACAGGCATCAGCCACATGTGCCAAGCTACTCTCCCCTATCTTCAGCGCCACTTCCGGCTTTTTCTGCTTATGTGGCACTGAGGAATCGAACCCAAGGCCTCATGCATGCAAGACAAGCACTCTACCATGGAGCCACCTTCCCAGCCCCTCCCCTATTTTCTTCACTTAGGTTAAAAAAAAACCAAAACCCTTGCAGATTCAACTAAAAGACTCTGTCCTGCGGGGCGCTGGTGGCTCACGCCTGTAATCCTAGCTACTCAGGAGGCTGAGATCTGAGGATTGCGGTTCAAAGCCAGCCTGGGCAGGAGAGACCCTGAGCCCTGAGACTCCTATCTCCAATAAACCACCAGAAAACCGGAAGTGGTGCTGTAGCTCAAGTGGTAGAGCGCTTGCCTTGAGCTGAAGAACTGAGGGACAGAGCCCAGGCCCAGAGTTCAAGCCCCACGACCAACAACAACAAAAAAAAAAGATTGTCCTAAAGGAACTCCCCAGAACCTCTCTCCCGCCCCCAATGGTTTTGCCTAACCTATTATGATTATGGTTTTCATACTTGAGCAACTCCTCTCCCATCTGTAATCATGTATTTCATTACTCTTTCCTGGGGCATTGAAAATTTTTCCCCAGGCAGGGAGAGCATGTGGCTGGATCAGATGCCAGCCCGCTCCCTGCGTGCAGGAGTTGAAGGGGATCTCTGTAGAGTCAGCCGTGTGAGGGGGTAGCCTTGAACAGCAATGGTTACCAGTGGACGGAGGCCAGGCCCAGGCGGGGGCTGTGCTGTCCATTTCCTGGGCCAGCCCTGGCAAGCCATTCCCTCCCCTTTGTAAATACTCGCCCAAGGTCAAGGCACCAGCAGCTCAGGGAAACTCTGTTCTCCACGGCTGGTGCAGCTCGGGCTCCCTCTACCCTCACCCCGTCAGGCTGGCTGCATGAGCTGGGCAAGCGCCTGGAAGTGCCCTATGTCAACGGCTCGGCGGGCGGCCCGTCCAGGCGCAGCGCCTACATCGCTGCGCTCTACTTCACGCTCAGCAGCCTCACCAGCGTGGGCTTCGGCAACGTGTGCGCCAACACGGATGCGGAAAAGATCTTTTCCATCTGCACCATGCTCATAGGCGGTGAGGCCAGGCCTGCCACACCCGAGGGGGAAAAGGGACCCCCAAGTGGATGATCGTGTGTGCGCGCGCGCGCGCGTGCGTGCATGGAGCAGCACGGGCCTGCCCCTCTGGGAATCACCCCCTATTTCCTGTCCCCAATACCCCCAATGCAGCACGCAGGGGTCTGCGGACTCACCCTTTCTTCCCCAGCACCACCCACCCACCCACATCCATCCAGGGCTGAGTGGGTGCAGGGCAGGGGGAGGTGACAGAGGGGGTGGCCATCCCTGACACGCTGCCCACTGCCACTGCTGCAGCGCTGATGCACGCCGTGGTGTTTGGGAACGTGACGGCCATCATCCAGCGCATGTACTCCCGCCGCTCGCTCTACCACAGCCGCATGAAGGACCTCAAGGACTTCATCCGCGTGCACCGCCTGCCCCGGCCGCTCAAACAGCGCATGCTCGAGTACTTCCAGACCACGTGGGCCGTCAACAGCGGCATCGATGCCAACGAGGTAACGAGCAGGGCCTGTCTGGCTGGCCCAAGCTAGACACGTGGTAGCACAGCAGGGGAGGCTTGCGCACTGCCTCTCTGGATTTGGGATGAGGGCTCAGGAGGCCCAGGGAGGAGAGGTTCTACTGTTGACAAAGCACAAACCCACCCAAATCCAAATTCTGTTTTCTTTGTACTGCTGGTGGCTCAGCCACGCCTGTAATCCGAACTACTTAGAAGGCTGAGATTTAAGGATCATGATTCGAAGCCAGCCCAGCCAGGAAAGTCTGTGAGACTCTTCTCTCTGAGTAACCGCCGGAAAGCTGAAAGTGGAGTCGTGGCTCAAGTGGTAGAACACCAACCTTGAGCAAAAAAGCTAAGGGAACAGTGCTCAGGTTCTGAGTTCAAGTCCTGGTAGTGGCATGTGAGTACGTGCACGTGTATGTGCACACAGAGACACAGAACATGGAAGCTGAAAGTGTGAATGTAGCAAAGGTCTGGACTTGCCCTCTCTGGGGTTCTGTTTCTCTGTCAAATTGATCTTCACAGTGCCTCTCCTCCCAAACCCTTTCCCAACCTAATGCTATCCCCATTCTGTCACCATGGCCAGAGCACCTGCTTCTGTGGGAGGCCAAGCTTCTGTGGGAGACAGACAGCTTGGAGATAGTTACAATTAGCCCCTGCCCTGAGAGAGACTCCAGAATGGTGAGAGGGAGACAGAATTGCATAGTAAATAGGACTATGGTAGAGGGATGTGGGTGCAGCAGGGCCCTCATTGTAGCAAAGTAGCATCGTGTTGGGATTCTGGGCTTAGGGCCAGAGGTGAGTGTTAAGGATTGGACCATGAGGAGGGTGTGGTGCATGTGGGAGACTCCAGTGGAGGTTGCACAGGACTCACTGGCAGTGGGGAAATCAGGGACTGGTTGCTACAATGGAAGAGAGAATGGAAAATGAGAAGTAAGCTCCATAATGTATGAAAACATGAACACTTTGACCTCGGGAGGTCATTGGTTATATTCAAGAACTACCATAACCCTACATTTACAATGGACATGTAGAAGCCCAGAGAGAGGAATTGAATTTTTCAAAGCCCACAGGAATTTAGGAGCTTTTTTTTTTTTCTTTCTTTCTTTTTTTGCCTATCCTATGGCTTCAACTCAGGGACTGGGCGCTGTTGCTGAGCTTCTTTTTGCTCATGGCTAGCACTCTACCACTTGAATCACAAATACACTTCTGGCTTTTTTGGTGGTTTATTCGAGATAAGAGTCTCACAGACTTTCCTTCCTTGGGCTGGTTTCAAACCGTGATCCTCAGATCTCAGCCTTCTGAGTAGCCAGGATTACAAATGTGAGCCACCAGTGGCCCAGCTCAGGGATAGCTCTTGACTGTATGAGGGTGTGTGGCCAGAACATGTTATGAGTGACTAGTATTTGTTGCCAGGTGCAGTGGACAAATGGGAAACCTAGACTCTGTCCAGAATTTAGTTTGGGAGGTCAACTCAGGAAGCAAAATTGAGGTTTAGACCCACAAAAGTCTTGATGAAGGTCTGGAATAGGTGGCTTCAAAGCATAGGTCAAGTGGGGGCCTTTGCCTTGCCTTAGAGATAGTTTAAGTAATAGTTGCAGGGGGATGGCTGGAATGACCTATGCCCCTTATGCAGTTACTGCGTGACTTCCCAGACGAGCTGAGAGCCGACATTGCTATGCACCTGAATCGGGAGATCCTGCAGCTGCCACTGTTTGGAGCAGCGAGCAGGGGCTGCCTGCGGGCCCTCTCCCTACACATCAAGACCTCCTTTTGCGCTCCTGGCGAGTATCTGTTGCGACGTGGGGATGCACTGCAGGCGCACTACTACGTCTGCTCCGGCTCACTTGAGGTGCTCCGAGACAACATGGTGCTGGCTATCCTGGGTGAGAACCCCAACACTGACACTACTCAGAGCCTTGGGACTAGCCTTGGGTCTAGGAATGGGACATTCCCTGTGGATACCAAGGGATAGTCCCTTTACCGTTCACTCTTTTGGGCATTCTCTGTGACTCATTCATCCCTAACCCTTTGGCCATCCCTCCACCCAACAGTTCTTTACTAATGACTGGCCCTTGAATTAACTGATCCTCTCCATTTCATCCTCTCTCAACTTCATTGACCCTTTCCCAAGAGCCCAAACCCCTTGGAACTTTACCCTTTAACTTGCCCCTGTGGTGGGCCTGCCTGACTTTCTTCTTTTCTTCCTTCCTTCCTTTATTTTTGCAGCTTTAGGGATTGAACCTAGGGCTTCACGTATGCTAGACAAGCACTCTAATACTTGACACACACACACACAACACACACACACACACACACACACACACACACACACACACACACACACCCATTTTGTGCCAATATTGAGGCTTGAATTCAAAGCCTGGGCACTGTCAGTTAGCTTTTTCACTCAAGGCTAGTTCTCTACTACTTGAGCCACACCTCTGCTTCTGGCTTTTTTGTGATCAATTGAAGATAAGTTTCATAGGCTTTCCTGACTTTGAACCATAAACCTTAGATCTCAGCCTCCTAAATAGCTAGGATTACAGACAGGAGCCACCAGTGTTCAGTTTATATTTGTTTTTGAGATAAGATTTCACTCCAGATTCTCTTATCTTTACTTCCTAAAGTAGCTGGGATTACTGGCAAGTAGTAAAGTGCCCAGCTTCCTCTGGCCATTTTTTACTGATTATCCAATTGATTGATCAATCATTCATCCAGTTCTGCTAACAACTCCCCTCCACTGATTATCTTGCAGGTTCAGCGTTTATTCTCCACTTGCCTTGTTCAAATTCCTCAATTCTCTTATCAACCCCTTGATCCAGGTCCGCCATCCTTCAAACACACCCGACTATTCACCGAATCCATAGACTGACATTCTATTGGTTCCTGTGTCTCAGCTCACAGTCCTTATTCTTTGCCCACAGGGAAGGGAGACCTGATTGGGGCAGACATCCCTGAGCCAGGCCAGGAACCTGGGTCAGTCTCAGGTCCCAGCTGCGTGCTGAAGACCAGCGCAGACGTGAAAGCACTGACCTACTGTGGCCTTCAACAACTGAGCAGCAGAGGGCTGGCTGAGGTCCTTCGGTTGTATCCTGAGTACGGGGCTGCTTTCCGGGCTGGCCTGCCCAGGGACCTCACCTTCAACCTGCGCCAGGGCTCTGATGCCAATGTATGTAGACTTCCTATGGTCTTCACTGCCTGCCTCCCAGGGCCCTTTGTTCAAAGCTGATCTTCCCAAGCCCTAGAGAGCTTTCTTTATATCCATTCACTTGAAAACACTAGCTGTAACCCCAGGTACCCTTTTCCACTCCTCCTTATGTGTTTGACATTTTCCAGTGCCACTGCCCAGTAGCCTTACCTGGCCCCTAGATCACCTCTCAGCACCTTCTACTGTGCTGCCCATAATTCCTTCCTTCCTCCCTCCCTCCCTCCCTCCCTCTCTCTCTTTCTCTCTCTCTCTCTCTTTCTTTCTTTCTTTCTTCCTTTCTTTCTGTGCTGGTCTTGGGGCTTGAACTCAGGGCCTGGACACTGTTCCTGAGCTCTTTTGTTCAAGGCCAACACGGTACCATTTTGAGTCACAAGGCCACTTCCAGTTTTTGAGTGGTTAATTAGAGATAAGAGTCTAACAAACTTTTCTGCCTGGGCTTGTTTTGAATAGCAATCCTCAGATCTCAGCTTTCTGAGTAGCTAGGAGTATAAGTGTAAGCCACCAGTGCCTGGCCTTGTCCATGTGTTTTGTTGAATATCTCTAGCCCTACTCTAGACTCCTACAGAGGATCCTCGGTTTGGGAGCAGCACCTCTCTGCTGCTACTCCTTCGGGTGTCTCTGGAACAGTATTACCTCCAGAGCTGCTGTTTCTCCACTGGTGTTCCCATGTTTCCTGGCCCACTTTGTTTTTAGACTGGGCCAGGTCTGTACTTTACACACTAGGCCTTTCTTTTGGTACTTTTTTTCTTTTTCTTTTTTTGGGTCCGGTCGTGGGGCCTGAACTCTGGGCCCGGGTGCTGTCCTTCAGCTCTTCAGCTCAAGGCTAGCGCTCTACCATTTGAGCCACAGCACCACTTCTGGCTTTTTTCTTTTTGCTTCTGTGGTGCTGAGGAATCGAACCCAGGGCCTCAGGCATGCAAGGCAAGCGCTCTACCACTGAGCCACCTTCCCAGCCCCTCTTTTGGTACTTTTGAGTCTTGTTTTGTCACTTAGAATGACAAAACTGCTTTATTCCGTAAAAAGGTCCCATGTTCTCAGTCCCTTACCACTGCTGGCTTGGAGTAGGAGGGGCTGTGCCAGAGGAGTAGAGCAGAGTAAATCAGCTTCCACCTTCCTCCATCTCTTTAGGGCCTCAGCCGCATCTCAAGATCCCCTCGGCTTTCTCAGGTAACACCCCCTTCTTGGGTGAGGGTAAGGTTGTTCTGGAGAGAGTTTGGGAGTGGGGGGGGTCTTTCCTTGGCTTTTCTACTCCAGGAAGAAGGGATAGGGGATGGGAATGAGTGTGTGGTGGTAAAAGCTGTGGACCTGGGAAGGGTTCTGTCGTCCAGTGCCCTGTAACATCAGCTGCTCCCTCTGCCCACAGCCGCGCTCAGACAGTCTTGGCTCATCCTCAGACAAGACTCTGCCATCCATCACAGAAGCCGAGAGTGGCACCGAGCCTGAGGGTAGTTCCAGGCCCCGCAGGCCCCTCCTGCTACCCAATCTCAGCCCAGCGCGGCCCCGAGGCTCCCTGGTCAGCCTTTTAGGCCAGGAGCTTCCCCCATTCTCGGCCCTTGTCTCTTCTCCTTCTTTGTCCCCTTCCCCTTCCCCCACCCCTGCTGCTGCCCGGGGCCAGTGCTCCTCCACTCACAGGCCCCCCAGGAGCTCTGCTGCCTGGAAGCCTCCCCAGCTTCTCATTCCCCCACTGGGAACCGTTGGACCTCCGGATCTCAGTCCCCGGTGAGATGCCATCCTCCTCTGTCTTCCCCATATCACCACTGGCTTCCAGAACTTTCTTTGGGCTCTGTCCCCAGTGTTCCAACTAGGGCTCTTCCTGTCTCTGTCCCATTTGCCTACCTTTCCTTTCTACTGACAGCTTGCAACCCCATCCTGCTTTGACCTCTGCTGTTCCTCAGTTCCCTGGCTTGGCTGCCCCCATTTACCTCTGTCTGCTGTGTTCTGGCATTTCCCATATGCTCTCCCCATGGTGCTAATGAGCACTGCCCCATCCCCAGGATAGTGGATGGCATCGAGGACTCGGGTAGCACAGCCGAGGCTCCTACGTTCCGATTCAGCAGGAGACCAGAGCCTCCACAGCCTCGATCACAGCCCCCCCTGAGAGGTAAAGGCTCACCCATCCATCCACCTGCCATCCATCCATCCAGCCATTATCCCTCCATCCATCCATCCATCCATCCATCCATCCATCCATCCATCCATCTGTCCATTTATCCATCCTACATGCTGTAGAGGCCTCCCCTGTGCTAGGTGCAGTGCTAGGAAACACATCACATGATAAACCAGACCTGGGCCATGTTCTTAAATCTTTCACCTCATTCTGCTTCCAAAGCCCAGGGTCAGTGGCTTATGCTTGTAATCCTAGCTACTCAGGAGGCTGAGATCTGAGGATCACAGTTTGAAGCTAGCTGAGGTATGAGAGTCGTATTTCCAATGAAGCAGCAAAATCTAGAAGTGGAGGTATGGTTCCAGTGGTAGAGCACTAGCAGTGAGTGAAAAAGCCAAGTGAGAGTATGAGGTTCTGAGTTCAAGTTCCAGCACCCATAAAACCAAAACCAAAGAAAATACCAAAAAAGTAGGAATTCCCTTTCCAGTGGGGAAAGCATCTGTATACACGGATAAACAATTCTAGAGCCATGTGCTAAATATCACTACTGAGCCAAGAACAGAACTCATGGTAGGAGCAGAGACAAATTGCAACAAATTGCTTCTTTCTTTGTTTCTTCTCTTTTCTTTCTTTCTTTCTTTTTCTTTTCTTTTCTTTTCTTTTTTTTTTTTTTTTTTTTGTTGTTGGTTGTGGGGCTTGAACTCTCGGCCTGGGCACTGTCCCTCAGCTCTTCGCGATCTACCATTTGAGCCACAACATTACTTCTGGTTTTCTGATGGTTAATTGGAGGTAGAATCTCACAGATTTTCCTACCCAGCCTGGCTTTGAACCATGATGCTCAGATCTCAGCCTCCCGAGTAGCTAGGATTACAGGCATGAGCCATCAGCACCCAGCAAGTAGCCTTTGGTCAGTGGAGCAGGATAACTATTGAAAGACATAAAGGTATTCAGAGCTGAAGGATACTGTGTTCACAGGCCAAAGAGAAGCTCTGTGACTAGAGCTAGGGGTGGATCGCTGGGTATAGAGGAGATGAATCTAGAGGTGTAAAAAATCCCAAGAAAAACAGCCTAAAAAGTTTGCATTTTCCAGCCTGGTGCCAGTGGTTTATGCCTATAATCCTAGCTACTGAGGAGGCTGAGATCTGAGGCTCACAGTTCAAAGCCAGCCCAGGCAGACTCTGATCTCCAATTAACCACTAGAAAACCAGAAGTGGCACTGTGGCTCAAGTGTTAGCATGCTTGCCTTGAGCTGAAGAGCACAAAGATAGCACCCAAGCCTAGAGTTCAAGCCCCATGACCAACAACAACAACAACAAAAAGTTTGCATTTTCCATCTCCTTGATCCCACAGCTTTCTTTCCCTTGCTCTCTGACTGCCTACCAACAGGGGAGACCAGCCTGAGCTATAGCCTCAGGTATTCATGCTCCATGAACTCACCAGCATCCCCTCATTCCCTTTTGCTTGCAGGCACCAGACACAGCCAGGAACTGGCCACTGAGGCCGCTGAGGAAGTAAAGGAAAAGGTCTGCAGGTTGAACCAGGAGGTGAGCTGGGAATGATTTCTACCCTCCAGCCCTGGAGAATATTGTCTTTGCATGCTGCAAGAGCATGTTGGGTTCTAAAGCCAGAATTCTGAGCTCAAATAGCCACATAGCTAATGACCTTGAGCAAATCCTACAACCATCCTGAACTTTACTTTTTTTCCTTGCCTGAAATGATAGGCCTTTCCCAGAGTATAGAGTATAGAGGTATTTGATCCCAGCCCCTGGCATTTCCCAAGTACTTAGTTCCAGTCAGTTTGCCCTTCCCGCTTCCTTCTTTCCAAACCAGCCCAGGATTTGTAGCTTGAAAAATGGACCCCTATCTCAACAACCCCATCCTCCTATCATGCAATAGGAAATGGGATTCTCTTAGCCTAGGACCATCCCACCAAATCTGCTGCTCATTTCCTTCCCCTTCCGCAGCCCTGGGAAAAGTGTGTGTGTGTGTGTGTGTGTGTGTGTGTGTTGAGGCCATAGAACCAGGAGGCTAAGTTTTACACCTGGGGAACCTGAGACCAGATGTCCAAGCATTAGCTAGAAAGAGCCCAGATCCTATATGCTCAGGCATTGTCTCTATCTCTGCCCCCAAGAGAATTCAACACTATCAACACTCAGGGACCAGTTCAGCCCCTGGGAGTCTCCTTCCCTTAGTTCTGATAAACAGCCCACACCATAAAGGGGTGGTAACTGGCCAAGGCAGGGCATGAGATGAGGGCGGGGCCTGCCCCTGTTCAAGGTTAACGGCAAAACTTGCCTTAGGTAGCTTTCAGTTCTAGTCCAGTGGTTCTCTCAACTTGTAGTCGTTTCAAAAACCACCTGTTCATTTGCAGACTTGGAAGCCTTGCTCAATTAGCAGTGACTTTAGTAGGGACCTAGATGCTGGCATTTTGACAGTTTCTCAATCATTTCTTGTAGAAAGGAGCCTGGTGTTGATGGCTCACACCTGTAATCCTAGCTCCTCCTAGCTAGCCAGAAGACTAAGATCTGAGGATCAAAGTTTGAGATTTTTTTTTTTTTGTGACGATACTGTACAGAGGGGTTACAATTACATAGGCAAAGTAATGAGTATATTTCTTATCAAACATTGTTGCCTCCTTTGTTTCCCCTTACCATCCCTGCCTTCCCATCTCCCCCACCCTAAGATTCTTATCTCCAATTAGCCATCTGACAACTGGAAGTGGTGCTGTGGCTCCAAGTGATAAAGTGCTAGCCTTGAGCAAAAAAGCTCAGGGACAGTGCCCAGACCTTGAGTTCAAGCCCCATAACTCACCAAAAACAAAAACAAAATTTTCTTTTTGCCAGACCTGGGGCTTGAACTCAGGGCCTGGGCACTGTCCTTTGAGCTTCTTTTGCTCACAGCTAATGCTCTATCACTTGAGCCACAGCACCACTTCTGGCTTTTTCTGTTTATGTGGTACTGAGGAATGGAGCCCTGGGCTAGGCACTAAAAAATCCTAGCCCTCATATTCTCTTTTGAAAGGGACTGGGACATTTCTCTCTAGACAGTGCCCCTGCCCTGCCTTCTTTCCAGGTAATCATCAGAATGTAGTAGTTGAAGAGTTTTATAAACTGTAGAGTGGGGGGGGGGGGGGAGGTAATACCAGGTTATTGTTGTGGTACTCATGATGTAATTTAATGTATTTTTAACAGATCTCCCGTCTCAACCAAGAAGTGTCTCAGCTGAGCCAAGAGTTACGGCATGTGATGGGTCTCCTGCAGTCCAGGCTGTGTTCTCCAGGCCCAGGCCACCCAACAGTCTTAGCTTGGCCCTCTGGCCCTCCTTGCCCCCAACAGGGGCCACAGTTCATCTCTGCTTGTGTGTCCAGACCTCCACCTGGCCCCCAGGATACTACACTTGCAGAAGTCCACTGCTCAGCCAGTGTGGGGACAGCGGAGATGGGGGCTTCCCCTCTGGACCTGAGATCTTCCATGCTTTCCCCCTATCCCTCAGAGCCTGACCCTCTTGGACCTTCCCCAGTACCAGAGGCTTCACCTCCAACCCCAAGTCTCACAAGACACAGCTTCCAATCTAAGTCAGACATGTTTCACTGACCCTGGCTCTGGGCCCAGGCCTATCTGGGGTGGGCATTGCTGCCTACCATTCAGGGAGGAGCTGGGTCCCTTGGCCTCCTGCCTTGAGGTCAGCAGCCACCAGCTGGTCTGGTTGGTTCTGTATTCTCTGGACATTTTAATGAAGAGTGGCCACCTCTGACCCTGTTCCATTTTCCAAACTTCTCATCCTCCTCCTCTGTGAAGGGAGCCACCTGAAGCCATGGAATTCAGCAGGCGTGAGATGGATCGCAGTGCCCATTGGGCTGGGCAGATGAGATGTCCTTCTTTCTCCCCAGGACTTGGAGACAGGTAGAGATTGGGAAGCAGAGAAGATGGAAAATGGCCCTAGATCCAGGCTGAGAAATGAAGGGTGAGGCAAGATCAGGCAAGATCAGGGTCTTAGTGTCGACGGTAAGAGGGTTAGGCTGCAAGATTTCCTTCTGGCCATAGCTTAGCAACATTGTGAGGTCTGTAGTTTCAGCTCCTGGGTCCTCTGCTGAAGACACTGAGAGCAATGGCACACTGTGAGGGAGAGATCTCAGGTTCTGATTGGTATGTTAGCAACCACAGATATCTTAGGTCTCCTACCATCAGCCTAGGCTGGAAGAGCTCACTTCAATCTGCAACATATACAGGACATAAACCAAGAGCCCCAGACATGTATTCTTTGGCTCTCAGAGCATCATTTTCAAAACATGAGTTAGGTGCCAACATTAAGACAGTTCACATAAAAATCTAGTATCTTGCCTGGGTACAAGTGGTTCACATTTGTAATCCTAGCTACTCAGGAGGCTGAGATCTGAAGATTGTGGTTGGAAGCCAGTGGAGGCAGGATAGTCCATGAGACTCTTTTTTTAAAAAAAAGTTGGAAGTTGACTGTGGTTCAAGTGGTAGAGCACCAGCTTTGAGCAAAAAAGCTCAGGGACAGTGCCCAGAGCCTGAATTCAAGTCTCAGGGCTGGCACACACACACACACACACACACACACACACCACAAAAAAACAAACAACCCTCCAGTATCCCAACTTCTCTTAAAAAAAAGGCCAGGTGCTGGTGGCTTACACCTGTAATCTTAGCTACTCAGGAAGCTGAGATTTGAGGATCATGGTTCAAAGCCAACCCAGGCAGGAAAATCCATGAGACTCCTTTCTCCAACTAATCACCAGAAACCCAGAAGTAGCACTATGGCTCTAAGTGGTAGGAGGCTACATTGAGCAAAAACGTTCAGGGACAGCACCCAGGCTGTGAGTTCAAACCCTGTGACTGACAAAAAAAAAAAAAAAAAACCCTGTGACTGACAAAAAAAAAGGTCTGGCCACCACCCTGTGCCAACAAGTATAGGTATTGGGTACCTATTGTCCTTTTGATGTGATTTACAGTCCTGGGACTTGAACTCAGGGCCTCATGCTTTCACTTGGCTCTCTTGCCCAAGGCTGGTGCTCTACTACTTGAGCAACATCTCTAGACCAGCGTTTTGTTGGTTATTTAAAGATGGAGTCTCTCAGATTTCTGATGAGGGTAGCTTCAAACCGTAGTTCTCTAGGTCTTAGCCTCCTAAGTAGCTAGAATTACAGGCGTGAGCAACGTGCCCCTAGCTATAGTCCAATTTTAGATCATCTCTTGATTCCCAATGAGCCTGTCTCATTTGAATCCTTTGTCTAGTCCCTGGATCTGAGTTTGCAATCCCTGTCTCAGAAAAGGCACCCTAGTCCTGGGTATAGTGGGTGTTATGGGGGCCAAATAATCTGTTTTCCCCATGGGCTTAGGTCTGTTCAATGTTTCTGTTTGTCTCTCCACAGAATGTTACTCAAGGTGGTCTCTTCTGCTGCCAGCGACTCAAAAAACTCCCAGTATCACTCCTCGTCTTTCTCCTGCCCCCAGACCTCAGCCAAGCCTGTCTTCCTCCAGTCTAACATCTCACTCAGGGCATGGATTTTGTGAAAACCCACCCTGGACTCCATCTTTCCTTTTCTACCTAACACCCTGAGCTCATGTTTGGATAGAAAATAAACTCATATTTTTGTACTTGTTGGCTCTAGCTGTTTCTGGGGGTTGGACTGAGAGTCCCAGGGCTTTGCAGGAGTCAATCTAGCATCACTCTCCACCATACCCCAGGGCCCTGTTATTGTCTCTAGGAAGAGCAAAGGCGCCAACCAATTCACTTGGCACCATATTCACGCCACCAGGGGCCCCTGGGATTGAAGGAGAAATGTTAATAAGTCCCTGAGGTCCTGTTAAACCCTCTCTCCTCCCCACCACCCAGTTATAGCCACAAATACACATACAATATGTAGAAGAGACAGTCCTGGGTCAGTCCTATCTCTAGCCTTGGAAGGTGGGCCCAGGGGACTTCCTACTCCTCCTGAATAACCAGCTGTTGTTGCAGGGCTAGGTATAATATTGGTAGAGGAAGAGTGTCTCACAAGAATCAACTAGTAGTTGGATGCTAGTGCCTCACACCTATAATCCTAGCTACTCAGGAGGCTGAGATCTGAGAATCATGATTCGAAGCCAGTAGGAATGTCCAGGAGAGTCTTATCTCTGATTAACCACCAAAAAGCTAGAAGTGGAGCTGTGGCTCAAGTGGTAGAGTGCCAGCCTTGAATGAAGAAGCTACGGAACAGTGCCCAGGCTCTGAGTTCGAGCTGCAGTAGTGCTGAGGAACCTACTAGGAAGCTGGGTGCGCTCTTGCAATGTCTTTTTTTTTTTTTTTTGTCGGTTGTAGGGCTTGAACTCAGGGTTTGGGTGCTGTCCCTCAGCTCTTCAGCTCAAGGTGAGCACTCTATGGCTTGAGCCACAGCACCACTTCCTCTTTCAATGTTTTTAATCCCTATTACTCAGGAGGTGAAGATAAGAAGGATCTCCATTCCAGGTATCCTTGGGCAAAAGCATGAGACCCTATCTGAAAAATAAAAAAGAAAAGGAGCCAGGTGGTGGTAGCTCATGCCTGTAATCCTAGCTACTCAGGAGGCTGAGATCTAAGGATCATGGTTCTAAGCCAGCCTATACTGGAACGACTATTCTCTTCAATAAACTTCTAAAAAGTTGGAAGTAGAGCTATGGCTCAAGTGGTAGAGCACTATCCTTGAGCAAAAAAAGCTCAAGAACCACACCCAGGCCTTGAATTCAAGTCCCAGGACTGGCACAAGTAAATAAAAGGACTAACCAAGGTGTGGTTCAAATGGTAGATGCTTAGCAATGACTTTGAGTTCAATCCCCAGTGCTATACTTAATTAATCCATTCAGCCTACCCTTCTCCCTCAACTTACTTGTTTCTGACAATGACTGCTGGGGGTGAGAGGTGGGGTGGGGTTAGAGATGTTATAAGAAATAGGAGGGGCTGGGAAGGTGGCTCAGTGGTAGAGCGCTTGCTTTGCATCCATGAGGCCCTGGGTTCGATTCCTCAGCACCACATAAACAAAAAAAGAAAAAAGCCAGAAGTGATGCTGTGGCTCAAGTGGTAGAGCGCTAGCCTTGAGCTGAAGAGTTGAGGGATAGTGCCCAGGCCCAGAGTTCAGGCCCCACGACCAGACCCCCCCCAAAAAAAAAGAAATAGGAGTTTGATGCCCAGATGAAATCAGATGTGGGTACCACTTTGTGGAAGGCCTACCAGACAGGTGGAATCTCCAGCTCAGACTTTAGGTATAGCTGATGTTTGCTGGTATTACTAGGCCCAGCTATTACCCACAGCTGTTTCTGGGGTGGGCTTTGATTTTATTGGTTTAGGGAGTAAGATGCAGAAGCAGAGGAGGTGCTGGCCTGTGTTGGGAGGTTGGGGGGTGGGGGCAGAAGCAGAAGTGGTCCTGATCCTGTATTAAGGGGAATCAGAACAAACAGACCTGATTCATATAGGGTGGAAGGATTCATGTATTGATGGACGGAGAGAAGACCCAGTTCTGTTTATGGGGTCCTGGTGTATTTGGGAGTTGAGCCAAAGTAGGGAGGCTTATGGTGGGAGAGTGGCAAAAGCTCTTCCTTTGATTTCACCCAATATCCTCCAGAAAACACTCCCTATTATGACTTCAATCTCCTTTCCCCAAAGAACGTCCCCAACAATTGGCTCCCTGAGCGAACTGGGCCACCAATGGTGTATACTGGGTCTTCTGGTTAGCTAGGGAACACGACTGGTCCACGTGGTCTTATGCGATTATGCATTCATTTCTCAATTCTGCACACACAGCTCTTTGCTCTAACCCGGCACTCTGCCCCTCGCCTTCCCTCGGGGCTCCAGGAACGACCACGCTGTTATCAAGGCAGGCCGGTCTCCACCCCGCCGGCAGCCGGCTCCACCCTGAGCCCTAGTGCCAAGCAGCCACCGGCTCCTCCCCGCCCTGAAGACTACAAGTCCCGCCATCCCTCGCGCGAACTCTCCCTCGTCTCCAGCGCCCCCTACCGGCGTCGCTTGTGGGTCGGCCAAGAGTGCCTCCTATTGGTCTCTGGGTCCTGTCAGTCACCTGGGAGTATGGAGGGGCGGGGCGGAGGTGGAAATCCGGATCCGGAGCGGCTGAAAGGCGGAAGTGGAGGCCGGAGCCTGGGACACCGCCGGGGGGGAAGAGGAGCGGACTCTTGTGCGAGCCCCGGCCCCAAGTAACGCTGCTGCCCCGGAGCCGCGGTGAGTGTGCCTGTCCCAGAACTAGGGTCTCGTTTGCTTTAAGGCCTCTCCGGGGCACCCCTTCCTCCTGCCCAACCCCAGCCCAGAGGGATACTGGCCCCTCCCCCGACCCGTAGCCCCCACTTTAGTGGCTCCCCAGGCGTCGGGCCAAAGGAAGAACCCTTCTTTCCTTTGCTTACCTGTCCTTTGTGAGCCTTAGGGAAACCTTTGTGGCTCTCCTCTGGCCTGTCCAATCTAGTTGTGGGAGAAGGGGACCCTAAGTTCCGCTCCCCTCTGCGCCTCTAGAATTGGAGGATCTTTGCCAGGTGTGAAGGGACCTGTCTCCCTTCTCCTTTAGAGCTAGCGGGGCATACTGTCTGTCGCCGCATTTCACCAGGAGACTGTTGTCCCCTCCAGCCCTGGGAGAATTTTTATCTCAGTTTCCTTTAGGCGGCGGGGGAGGGGTAGCTCTGGGTGAGACCGTTCCACACGCACAAAAGTATGCGCTCGCCCGGCTCCTTACTTCCCCTCCTTCCCCAAGCCACGGAGCCAGCCAGGACCTCAGCAGAGTTCAAATTCTGGGTCACTTATTAGGCACCGGCTGTCTTGTTTTGCTCCCTGTGTTCCCAGCCCAGTCCTCTATCTAGTTAGGTGGGTCTCTGAATCTGTGTATCTCTCTTCCTGCCTCTGAAGAATTTAGCTGAGGTTTGCTTAATCCTAGCTACGGATCACATAGGATCTGCCCATTCATTATCTTCTCTCTGCCCTCCTCTCCCCACCCTCCTCCCCTTCCCTCTCCTCTCCCCTCCCCCCCTTGCTCCAGGCGCAGCACTGTCCTTTCTAGAGTATGTGAGTGGTTTCCAAGCTTCTGCAGAGGGACTGCTCCTGGGACTCTGTCTGCTGATCTATGGGGGGGGGGGGGGGGGGGGGGAGGGGGAAGATAAGACCAAACATGAGGAAACTGGAATTGAGGGGGCCATCTCTTTCCCACCTCCAAATATATACACTGTACACCTGAGCAACAGGTCCATTCCACACCAGGGTTTCCTCCAGTCCCTTAGGCTTGTATTTATTACACAAGGCTCAATCTGAGATCTCAGTGACAGCTCTGGATCCTGAATGTGCTAATTTTTGTAGGCAAAGGAATTCCCATGCTTGTTAGAAAGTTCTGTTTTCCCCAACTGAACTGACGTATGATCCTGTGTGTTGCTTAGGACTTACTGTGTGTGAAATGGCTGCTATCTCAGTCAAGCTGGAGGGTTCTTTTGTCTTGTGGCCAAAGTACAGGCCAGAGACAACCTTTCTGAGAAATAGTTTGACTCAGGCTAGGACTGACCGTTGCTGTACACAGTGGAAGGAGGGAAAGCTATGCAATCCTTGGAAATTTCTGTAGCTCTTCAGTGTTCTGGACCACCTTAACTACCCTTGAATGCTACTTGAAAAAGCTAAACTCCCGGCATCCCACCCTCATCCCCAGTACTGGGGTTTGAACTCAGGACATGCTTGGTTATTTTGGAGATGAAGTTTGGCAGACTTTTCAGCCCAGACTGACCTTGAGCCACTATGCTCCAGATCTCAGCCTTCTGAGTAGCTTGAATCACTGGAACCTAACCTACTATGAGATCTTTTTTTTTCTTTTGGTCGGTTGTGGGGCTTGAACTCTGGACCTGCATACTGTCCCTGAGCTCTTCAGCTCAGGCAAGCCCTCTACCACTTGAGCCACAGTGCTACTTCTGGTTTTCTGGTGGTTAATTGGAGATCAGAGTCTCATGGACATTCTTGCCTGGGCTGGCCTTGAACATCGATCCTTAGATTTCAGCCTTCTTAGTAGCTAGGACTACTAGCGTGAGCCACCAGCGCCCAGCGCCTTGAGACATTTTGACTACTACTGAGTAATTGATAGTATCTAATTCGTATGTGTGTATTTATTTATTTATTTTTGTGGTACTAGAGTTTGATAGGCAAGTACTCTACCTCTTGAGCTATACCACTATACCTTTTTGCTTTATTTTTCAGGCAGGACCTTGTGCTTTCCCCTCCCCCAGGCCTCTTATCTTTGATCCTCCTACCTCTGCTTCCTACCTAGCTGGGATTACAGGCTATACCAACATACTTAGTTGTACTTCGTACAATATTTTGGGTTAGACTTGTTACACATTTACTTCATTTTACTGGACAACAACAAAATTCTTGTTAAGAGTTAATTGGAGACTCCCTTGACTAGCCTACTTTCTCTAATCAGCATGTGCTTCTCAGGATCAGAGAGGATCAGAGAGGCCTAATTGCTCACCAGCCTTTGGTCTCTGCCAGACTTAACTCTTCAGGAATGGATGAGGATTTGGGGAGTCCTTTGGGAGTCTTGGATATGACAGGCTATCTGAGGGATCCCCCCTTTTCTTTTTTTTTGAGTCTTGTCAGTCATGAGACTTGTACTCTGGGCCTGGGTGATGTCACTCAGCTCTTCAGCTCAAGGTTAGCGCTCTACCAGTTGAGCCACAGTGCCACTTCCGGTTTTCTGGTGGTTTACTGGAGATAAGAGTATCACGGCCTTTCCTACCTGGGCTGGTTTTGAACCATGATCCTCAGATCTCAGCCTCCTGAGTAGCTAGGATTACAGATGTGAGCCACCAGCACCCAGCAGACCTTTCTTTTCTTGGTCTAGATGAACTCTTCCAGCTCTTAACTCTGAAACAAGCTTTAAGAGGAGAAACTCTGCCTTTCATAGAGTCAAGGAAGACATCAGGGCTCCTGTGTTGCAGCCATTTCTGGCATTTAGAAATTATAGAGACCTAATAGACAGGTCTGACACAGTTCTGCAAGAGGAGGGGGTGGCCCTGGTGGATGGAAATCCTTCCTTACTGAGTCTGTCACTCCTTCCTTCTGTCTTTATTCTGTTAGGAAGACTGTCACTTAGAACAATGTTTATAAGCTATAATAAAGTTACAAAGCTCTTTTTGTACACATTCCTCATAAGTGTCCTGGAGATAGTCATATTAGTGTCCCTCCTTTAGAGATGATGTTTTGCCTAAGATCATACAGTTACAAGGTGATCTGGCCATGGCTTAGGTCTTGGGAACATATGTAACCTCATTTTTCCTCATAGCAGGTCCTCCTCTCAGTCTAGTCTGCTTGCTAAATACATGAACATGCAGGCTGAGTGAGGAGGGCACATGTGCTCACTCTTAGTCTTCGTTATCATTGGCTTTCCTCCTCTCTCACAACTAACGCCCTTCCTTGCTCCCTCCTTTCCCTGTTCAGCTCTGTCTCCCCCACCCCACCCTACCCCTTTCCAGGATCTCATACGCTGGCTTGGCTTTCTTGCTCACAGTTGGTGCTTTGCCACTCAATCAAGCCTCCAGACCACTTTTCTTTTGCTGGTTAATTGGAGAAAGAGTCTTGCTGGCTTTTCTGCCTAGGCTGGCTTTGAGCCTTGAGTCTTAGCTCCTGAGTAGTTAGGATTACAGATGTGAGCTATTGGCCCCTGGCTCCTTTGCTCTTTCCTTGGGATTGAACCCAGGCCTTGCCCATGCTAAGTAAGAGTTTTGCCTTTTGAGTAATGTCCCCAGTTCCTAACCTCTTGAGCCCTTTTGCTTTGCTTCTGGAGGCCATGACAGTTCCAAGCTATTATTCTCTAAGGCCCAAGGATTTATTAATGTCTGTTAATATCTGTATGCCTTTAATGGATTTCCTGGAAACCTGAAAGTGTAGAGGACTAGAAATGAAAGTAAAAGTGGGTGGACTGAAGGGTTCCACTGGGCAGAGTGGAATGGTCAGGAACCAACAGAGCTGGCCTGTGATTGGCCTCTGATTCCCCTTTGATACTGCCTACTGCTTGCAAGTGAGAAGATTGTGGCTCTCCACCAAGAACTCCTCTCATATACATTTAAATTCAGTCCTATCAAGCAAGTACTTCTTAAAACCCTCTTACAACCTTTATCCAGTTGTCAGAGAGGCAGTACAAGTGGAAGAAGGTGTTAGAGTCAGGAGTCAGCTGGACATAAATTCCCATCTTTCTTTTTCTTTTTTTTTTAATTTAATTTTATTTTATTTGAGAACATACTGTACAGAGGGGTTACAATTACATGGGCAGGATAATGCATACATTTCTTACCAAGCATTGCAGCCTCCTCCTTTGTTTACCCTTCACCTCCCTTCCCACCCTCCCCCCTCCCCCCCACCCAGTCATACCCCCCCTCCCCCCCACACTCCAACATTGTAAAGCTGGTTTTGACATGACATTTTGTACTTCTCATTGTTGCAACAGGTCCACCTGAATCCTTAAACGACTTGTTTGTCCCGGTCTCCTCCACATGTTATACTGACATCAAATATAGTGAAAGCGGGGGTTTCTTTTTCTTTTTTGGTCAGTTGTGGGGCTTGAACTTTGGGCCTGGGTGTTGTCCCTCAGCTCTTCAGCTCAAGGCTAGACCTCTACCACTTGAGCCACAGCACCACTTGCGGTTTTTCTGGTGGTTAACCGGAGATAAAGAGTTTCACAGACTTTCCTACCTGGGCTGTTTTTTTTTTTTTTTTTGGGGGGGGTGGGTTCCGGTCGTGGGGCCTGAACTCTGGGCCTGGGCCCTGTCCCTCAGCTCTTCAGCTCAAGGTTAGTGCTCTACCACTTCAACCACAACGCCACTTCTAGCTTTTTTTTTTTTTTTTGCTTATGTGGTGCTGAGGAATCGAACCCAGGGCCTCAGGCATGCAAGACAAGCACTCTACCACTGAGCCACCCTCCCAGCCCCCAGAGAATTTTTTTTTTTTTTTTTGTCAGTTGTGGGGCTTGAACTCTAGGCCTGGGCACTGTCCCTCAGCTCTTCAGCTCAAGGCTAGAGCTCTACCATTTGAGCCACAGTGCCACTTCCGGTTTTCTAGTGGTTTATTGGAGGTAAGAGTCTCATGAACTTTCCTTGCCCAGGCTGGCTTTGAACCGTGATCCTCAGATCTCAGCCTCCTGAGTAGCTAGGATTACAGGCATGAGCCACTGGCGCCTGGCTCCACAGAGAAATTTTTAAAGAGTA